AGTCCACCCCCCCTGCTCAAGCGGGAGACCCATTCAGACAAAAGGCTGTCGAATCTCTTCTTAGAAACCTCCAGTGTTTGGAGCTCTCACAACTTCTGGTGGCAAGGAGTTCCACTGATTAATTGTCCACACTGTTAGGAAGTTTCTCCTTAGGTCCAGGTTGCTTCTCTCCTTGGTTAGTTTCCCTCCATTGGGAAAGAGGCCCCCAGGACTCTCCAGCCCCCTTCCTGAGCCTAGATGGCTTCTGCCAACTCCAGCATCCGGGGGCAAGAACAGGAGGAGAAGGATGGGCTTTGCAATCCGGGATGTCCAAGCTCGGCTTCCCTGACCGAGCCTCTGTGGCATAGGGGTCTCGCCCACCTGTCTTTCAGGTGGGGGTCTGCTCAGTCTCCCAAGCCAGCTGTTTTCCTCTGTCTTCCTGCCCTCTTAGCTCTTCTGCAGACCTTGGGAAGAGAAGCAGCTGCCGGGTTTCTCGGTTGCTGGAATTTCCCCCACGCCCCACCCGGCAGCAGCAGCCTCCGAGCTCCGGTGTGGGGCAGGCCCTGGCAAGCCCTCCCGTGCCCCCTCCAAGCCTCTCGGTCTCCCTTTGGGGCTGACAGAGCTTCCTTGGCATTTGGGTAGCTAGAGGGGCTGGTTTGCAACACCTGGCCTGCGTGCCAAGATGCCACCTCTGGATTATTCACTGCAGTACAGGTAGTCCTCGGTTTACGACCACAATTGGGCCCAGCGTTTCTGTTGCTAAGCGAGACGGTGGTTCAGTGAGTTTTGCCCCATTGTACGACCTTCCTTGCCACGGTTTTTAAGTGAATCCCTGCAGTTGTTAAGTTGGTAACACGGTCGTTAAGTGAATTTGGCTTCCCCACTGAGTTTGCTTGTCCGAAGGTCGCAAAAGGGGATCACGTGATCCCGGGACGCTGCGACCGGCATAAATACGAGCCAGTTGCCTAGCGTCTGAATTTTGATCATGTGACCTGCCTGCACACCTGTGCTAGTGCAAGAATCTTCAACTGCATCAACCTCTCTCTTTCTCACACATACACACACACACAGAGACACATACATGTGTCTGCTTGCCTGCTAGTGCAAGACTTATCACCTTTGCCTGCCTGGCACATCTATGCTAGTGGAAGATTTTTCTGGCAAATGTGTGTGTCAGCCACACACATACATGCATGCACACATGTTTGCTTGTCTGGCACATGTATGTATGTATGTGCTATTCAAGACTCATCAGCTGGGTTATCACCCCCACCAACAGATACACATACACAGAGAGAGAGAGAGAGAGAGAGAGACCCAGGGTAGGTGCTTCCTCCTCTCTCTCTCTCTCCTCCTCTTTCTCTCTTCTCTCTCTTTCTCTCTCTCTTTCTATCCCTCTCTCTTCTCTCTCTGTCTCTTTTTCTCTTTCTCTTTCTCTTTCTCGCTTCTCTCTCTCTGTCTCTCTTTCTCTTTCTATTCCTCTCTCTCTTTCTCTGTCTCTGTCTCTCTGTCTGTCTCTCTCTTTCTATTCCTCTCTCTCTTTCTCTCTTCTCTCTCTCTGTCTCTCTGTCTCTGTCTCTCTTTCTCTTTCTATTCCTCTCTCTCTCTCTCTCTCTCTCTCTCTCTCTCTCCCCCTCCCTCTGTCCAGCCAGGGCTCCCTCCTGCCACTGCCGTCTAAAGATAGGCTGCCCCCTCTCCCCCCTCCTTCCTTCCCTCTCCCCTCCGCGTAGGCTTTTCCCTGAGTCACGCCTGACGCAGCCTGACGCAGGGGTGGCACGGAGCCTCCAGCCCAGATGGGGAAACCGGTCACTGCCATGAGCCGGTTATAAATCCTGCTGCCACAGAAAGACGAGATCCTTGGCTGCCGCCCATTAACCCTTGACAAGGCTGATTTGGGGGGGGGCTTTCATTGAAGGGGGTCCTTGGGGGGGGAGGGGCTCAAGCTGGCATCTGTCATTCTGCATCTAACCCTTAAGCCCTGCACCGAACAACAGCCAGACAGGGTAGGGTGGCTTTAGAAGAGAAGTATCCAATCTTTGGCCACTTGAAGACTGGTGGACTTCATTTCCCAGAATTCCACCAATCTTCAGGTGGCCAAGGTGGGCTACCCCCGCTTGAGAACGTTAAGGGAATTTTAAGCATTTTACCCCTCTGCCTGTTGTCCCCCAAATGGCACCCCTTCCCTTCCCACAGAGAGATGCCTCATACATGCAAACTCAGCTGCAATCCGTATAGCTGTGGCACATGGGTAGGGTGGTGCTTTGCTCGTGGCTTTGTAGCAATTGTCCCACTTCCTGGGTCAGGCGTTTGGCAGGCAAGGAAGGCCTCCCAATGGGCAGAAGACGGCTGGAGCAGATGGACCCTCATATCCCACCCTGGGGGTCCCCTTTGGGGCACACCTCTTCCCTAGAGAGGACCCGCAGTGCCCAAAGGGATACAGACCTTACCCCCTCCCCCCATGACCCTAGGAAGGGGTGTCCAAGAGCCCTTGGGGAAACAGAGGCTCCATCTCCTCCTGTCTCCCCCTGCTTGAACTCAAGGGGGGAAAAGTGGGGGAGAAGAGACAGTCGAGGGAGCCCCCCCCCCCACGAAGTCATCAGCCGGCTGGTCAGCTCGGTCAGCACAAGAGTTCTTTGTCTGCTCTTCAGCTGCTTGGCTGGGCTATCCCTGGAACAGGGCCGTCTGGAGGGGATTATTTCGCCCTTCCGTGATGGGCGGCCAGAGAGACAGCATTGAGGGTCCTGGGGGGGGGGTGGCAGACCCAGATTATGCAGACCCTGCAATTGCAAGCTCAGCCCCCCTTCCTCCCCCCCGCACCTCCCCACCCCCCTGGATCAAAAGGACCAGCTTTGCAAATGGAAACGGCTTGGTTGGTACAGCAGTTTGTTTAGTGTCCATTCCAAGTTAAAACGGCCCTGGAAAAAAAGGGACATGGCTTGTTTTTCACTCTTACGACCGTTGCAGCGTCCTCAAGGTCACGTGATCAAAATTCAGAGGCTCGGCAAGCGACTCGTAGTTAGGACGGTTGCAATCTCCCGGGGTCACGACCTTCTGACCAGCACACTCAAGGGGGAAGCCAGATTCACTTAACCGCCGTGTTACCGGTTTAATATCTGCGGTGATTCACTTAACAACGGTGGCAAGGAAGGTCGTAAAACGGAGCAAACACTGATCCCCCTTGTGCGACCTTCTGAACAGCAAAGTCAATGGGGAAGGCAGATTCACTTAACAACCAAGTTACAATTGTGGTAAACCAGGTCATAAAAATGGAACAAAATTCACTTAGTAACTGTCTCACTTAGCAACAGTAAATTTGGACTCCGTCATGGTCTTACGTCGAAGACTTCTTGAAAAAGAAGCAGAACAGACTGTTCTGACCACCCCTTGTTCTCCTCTCCGGTTTTGTGGCAGCCAAGGAGGCTCAGAACAACCCTGGGTGCGAATGCAGATCAGAGGCCATATTTCTCAGACAGAGGTCTCGGGGTGGTCTTGGCTGGCTGGCTGGGGGGTTCTGGGATTGGAAGTCTTAAAGCTGCTAAAGTTTAGAAACCCTGACCTGGAGCCTTGTCAAGCAGTACTAAATCAAGCCCAGGGAAAGGGTCTCTGCCTGCAGCCCCTTCCCCAACCGGCCCCCTCCAGATCTGCTCGTCCTTCGCCAAGTCCCTGGCCAGCCACCTCCAAGCGGTGCCAGGGGCAGAACGCAACCAGTCCCCACGCCAGGAATGCCAGCCTGTTGTTTCCACGATCTTCTTCCGAAGTGGTGCCTGTGCCGTTACGTGGCTGGCCGGCACGTCCCAACTCGCTGGAGGAACAGCTCACGATGGCCCCGTCCCTCCCGGCTGCCTAAGCCTTTGTTTGGGTCTGAGCTGAACCAGTCTGGCTCCTGCCAGCCTTTTCCGGCCTGCCCCAAATCCTCCCGGCTATTTTGGGCATGGAACACCCTTTGTGAGAAAGTCCCAAGCCTGCTGTGTGGCTGCTCCCTTCTCCCCCGCCCCCAGTCTGAGACAGCTGAGAGAATCTCCTGGGCTGTACAGGTAGTCCTCGACTTACAACAGTTCGTTTAGTGACCGTTTGAAGTTACGACAGAACTGAAAAAAGTAACTTATGACCGTTTTTCACACTTACGACTGTTGTAACATCCCCGCAGTCACGTGATCAAAATTAGACCCTTGGAAAGTGACTCGTATTTATAACGGTTGCTGTGTCCCGGGCTCACATGATCCGCTTTTGCGACCTTCTGACAAGCAAAGTCAGCGGGGAAGCCAGATTCACTTAACAACCGTGTGACTCACTTAACAACTGCAGTGTTTCACTTAACAACTATAGCAAGATGGACAAAACTCTCTTAACAAATGTCTCACTTAGCCGTGGAAAGTTTGGGCTCAATTGTGATCGTAAGTCGAGGACTACCTGTGCTGGGAAGTGGGGGGGAGGAGGAAGAATGTCAGTGACAGAGTTTGGCCCTGAGTTCAACTGAACTCAATTATTTGACTCCCATTTGCAAAAACCCAGCCAGTGCCAGGATCCTGCTTTGTATATGTAACCCCAGATATGGATACAAGGAGTCCTCGACTTACGACCACAATGGTGCAAAAATGTCTGTGCTTAAGCAAGGCAGCTGCAATGTGAATTTTGCCCCATTTTACGACCTTTCTTGCTACAGTTGTTGAGTTAATAACGCAGTCCTTAAGTGAATCCGGCTTCCCCATTGACTTTGCTGGTCAGAAGGTCGCAAAAGGGGATCACGTGACCCCAGGGACTCTGCGACCGTCATAAGTATGAACCAAGCAGCCAAATTTTGATCGTGCTCCAAAGATTGTAACTGAAAAACTGAAGTGTTAATACCGCTTTATAAAGCCTTGGTAAGGCCACACTTGGAATCCTGCAACTCTGGCTGGGGAATTCTGGGAGTTGAAGTCCACCCATCTTCAAGTGGTCAAGGTTTAAAATTGAGAAGGTGACTCTGAATGTTACGCTTTCCATTTTCGCCATGCTTAACGTCTCCTTCCTGTCCCTTTCAGGTTCCAGAAACATGTCCACACCTATCGGATTTTGCCTGATGAAGAGGAGTTTTTGGCCGTCCAGGTGAGCGTTTCCGTTTGTTTCTGCACCCCTTCTTGTTTAGGGTTAGGCTTTCTCAACCTCCACAACTTTGAGACTTGTGGACTTCAACTCCCAGAATTCCATGAAGCGATGCTGGATGGGGAATCCTGGGAGTTGAAGTCCGCACATCTTAAACTTGCTGAGAATCTTGCTTTAGTCAGGAGGTATCACTCCTTCAAGACTTTCTGCATTACTCATCTGGATCTTCCTAGGCACAAAATAACAGAGTTGGAAGGGACCTTGGAGGTCTTCTAGTCCAACCCCCTGCTCAAGCAAGAAACTCTAAACCATTTCAAACCAATTGCTATCCGGTGTCTTCTTAAAACCTCCAGTGTGGGAGCATTCACAACTTCTGGAGACATGTTGTTCCACTGGTTAATTGTTCTCACTTTCAGGAAATATCTCCTTAGTTCTAGGTTACTTCTCTTCTTGGTTAGTTTTCATTTGTTGCTTCTTGTCTAGCCTTCAGGTGCTTTGGAGAATAGGTAGATCCCCCCCCACTTCTTCTTTGTGGCCATTGGAAGACTGCTATCATGTTGTCCCTAATCCTTCTTTTCACAAGCCATACCCAATTCCTGCAACCATTATTCGTATGTTTTAGCCTCCTGGTCCCTAATCCTCTTTGTTGCTCTTCTCCACACTCTTTTCAGAATCTCAGCCTCTTTTTTATATCACGATGAACAAAATTGGATGCAGGATTCCAAGTGTGGCCTTATAAAGTGGTATTAACACTTCAGGTGATCTTGATTCTCTCCCTCTGTTCATGCAGCCTAGAAGAGTTGTTTGCTCTCCCCTTTATCAAATCAAATAGCCTGACAGTGATAAGTAGAGGACAATTAGCCATGGAGGAATCTATAAGTGGGAATTCTGGGTGCTGAAATTCCAAATTTTTTTGGACCAGGCATTTCTGGGCTCTGTATTTTCACATCCTGCTTCCCTGCCAGATCCTCCTCTGCTCCCTTCTCCATGCTGAGCTCTGTATGAAGGTTTGCTCCCCTCTGCTTGGAAATGGCCCAAGGGGAAGAAAAATAGAGGCTGGGGTCTGAAGAATGAGGCCTGGGGGCTGCCGGAGAGAGCCATTCCAGGAAATTTGGGTCATGAGCTTCCTTTTCTGCATGCGGCATCATCGGCTGCTTCTCCTGGGCAGCCCCAGCTGGTGAGAGCCCAGCAGATGCCCACACAGTGCTGATCTTGGGGCGAGGCCAGCCGGACTCATTGACAGGGCAACAGTGGCCCTATTGTGCTCCTCGCCAAGCAGGAATAAGTGAGGAGGCGGGCAAAGGGTGCGCCAGCTGCGGAAAGGAAGTTTGTGGGCTGACAGGGCATCCTAAGCCGGCCCTTGGTCTGCATGGCAAACGGGCAGCCGAGCCAGGCCGGAATGGGCCAGCCAGTGCCCATGCCAGGAAACGTCCACCCCAAAGACCAGCTTCATCCTGGTTAAGCCAGAACCATAGTTAATCCTTCCCAGAGGCTGACCAGGTGTCTTTCTTAAGAAATCACACACAATATAGTACATATAGTCCTTGATTTATAACAGTTCATTTACTGACCATTCGAAATTACAAAGGCCCTGAAAAATGTGGCTTTTGGACATTTTTCACACTTTACACAAATAACTCAAGGCGGCAAAGATATCCAACGCAACTTTCTCCTCCGGTTTTCCCCGCAGCAACAATTCTGTGAGATGGGTTGGGCAGAGAGAGAGGGACTGGCCCAAAGTCACCCAGCTAGCTTTCATGGCAAAGGCAAGACTAGAACTCACCATCTCCTGGTGATTGACCCAAAATCACCCAGTTGGCTTTCATGCCTAAAATGGAACTAGAACTCACAGTCTCCATGGCTAAAGCAGGACTAGAACTCACAGTCTCCTGGTGATTGACCCAAAGCTTTCATGGCTAAGGTGGGTCTTGAACTCATGGCTTCTTGCTTTCTAGCCTGTACCTTAACCACAACCAGGACAGGCCTCCAAACTCCAGGATAACAGAGTTGGAAGGGACCTTAGAGGTCTTCTAGTCCATCCCCCTGCTGAAACAGGAGAACTTGTACCATCCTGGACAAATAGCCATCCAGTCTTTTTTTTATTATTATTATTATTTTTTAAATTTGATTTATATGCCGCCCTTCTCCGGAGACTCAGGGCGGCTTACAATGCGTTAAGCAACAGCCTTCATCCTTTTGTATATTTATACAAAGTCAGCTTATTGCCCCCACAAACTGGGTCCTCAATTTACCTACCTTAGAAAGGATGGAAGGCTGAGTCAACCTTGAGCCTGGCGAGATTCGAACCTGCAGTAATTGCAGGCAGCTGGTCTTAATAACAGGGTGCTTTAGACCACTGTACTATCAAGGCTCTTTCTTCAAAACCTCCAGTGATGGAGGCACCCACAACTTCTGGTGGCAAGCTGTTCCACTGGTTAATTGTTCTCACTGTTAGGAAATTCCTCCTTAGTTCCAGGTTGCTTCTCTCCTTGATGAGTTTCCATCCATCGCTTCTTCTCCTGCCTTCAGGGGCTTTGGAGAATTAGGTAGGAAACCCCCCCCTCTTCTTTGGGGCAGCCCCTCAAATACTGGAAGGCTGTTATCGTGCACCACCTAATCGAGAGAGTGGGGGAGAGAGAGAGAGAGAGAGAGAGAGAGATTGCTTAGTTCACCCTTCTCCAACCCAGTGCCCCCAGGCTGCCCTCCCCAGTCCTGCCAGGTCTTAGGTGGGATCCCGGTGTCCACTCTTTTCAACTGGCAGGCAGTTCCTCCCGGAGGCCGGGTCCAGGGGACTCGGGTTCTTCTGCCTGCTGGACGGTGTCCTTTTCTTCCCACAGACGTCCCAGGGAGTCCCGGTGCGACGTTTCAAGACGCTGAGCGAGCTGATTGCCCTTTACCTGCAGCCCAACCAGGGCCTGGCCTGCACTCTGCTCTTCCCTGTGGAACGGGAGAAGGAGAAAGAGAATGCGGAGGAGAGGGACTACTCCGGTACCCATCAGCCCTTCCCCTGATTGATTGATTGATTGATTGATTGGTTCGATTTATATGCTGCCCTTCTCTTAATGCTCACAATGCTTTTAAGCAATAGCCTTCATACTTTTGTATATACCTGCTTAGTAGGGCTTTCGGGGGCCCCTAAGCGGTGTTCTTTTTTATACAAAGTCAGCTTATTGCCCCCAACAATCTGGGTCCTCATTTTACCTACCTCTGAAAGGATGGAAGGCTGAGTCAACCTTGAGCCTGGTGAGATTCGAACCTGCAGTAATTGCAGGCAGCTGGTCTTAATAACAGGGTGCTTTAGACCACTGTACTACCAAGGCCCTCCCTCCCTTCTATTCTTTTTTTCTTTCATTCCCTTCCCTTTCCTCCCTCACTCCCTCTTTCTCTTCCCCCTTGCTTCCTTCTTCCTCTTCCCTTCCTCTTTCTTTGCCTCGTCCTCTTTCCTTCCCTCCGCTATCCCTTCTTGTTCTGGGAAGGCCGTCTCAGCTGATCTTCTCTCTTGCAGATGGGGAGGACGACAAGCCCCCCTTGCCCCCCCGCTCGGGCTCCACCAGCATTCCTGGGGGCAGCAGCACCTCCATCTTGATGACAAACACCCCTGCAGTGCAGGACAGAGCCCTCGAAAGGTAAGGCAGATCCTGCGCTGGAAGGGCAGAGAGGAGAAGAAGAGGAGTCCTTGGACCACCCAGAGTGCATTGGACCACCCGCCCATCTCAACCCACAGATGTATGCGCCCCCCCTTCCCCCCCCCACCATCTAGGCTAAGACCCACCCATCTCCAGGCTTCCTTGAATCGATGGCTTTGCTTACCATAAGATCGCTGCAAGAAATGCTGGTTGAATTTTGGTCATGTGACTGTGGGGATGCCGCAGTGGTTGTAAATGCGAGGACCGATTGTAAGTCACTTTTTTCAATCCCAAAATGGTTGCAAGTTGAGGACTCCCTGCACTCACTCAAGAGAGCTTGGCTTCTCCACCAAGAAACCCTGGCATAAAACCTCCCTTCCTGCCCCAGGAACCGGACGTTGTGCTGAAACTCGAGGTCTCCTTTTTTGCCTTCCAGCCCCACCAATGGACTCAGCACCATTTCCCACGAATACCTGAAAGGCAGCTACTCCCTGGACTTGGAGGCCGTGAAGGGAGGGGCCAGCAACCTGCCCCACCTCAACAAAACGCTCGTCACGTCCTGCAGGCGCCTGCACAGGTGAGGCCATCAGCACAAGACTACGATTGTCGGCCGAGCAGGGACAAAAAGAGCCAGAGGAATGACTGGAGCCTGGGAAAGGGGCCCCTTTTGTCGGTTAATAGGGATGCTGATTTAATACCAGCCTGTCAGATACAGGTAGTCCTCGAGTTATGACCACATAAACCCAAACTTAATGTTGCTCAATGAAGTATTTGTTAAGTGAGGTTTGCCCCCATTTTATGACCTTTCTGGCCTCCGTTGTTAAGTGAATCATTGCATTTGTTAAGTTAGTCACACGGTTGTTAAGTGAATCTGGCTTCCCCATTGGCTTTGCTTGAAAAACAATCATAAGTGACTTTTTTCTTTGATGGTCACTAAATGAACTGTTATAAGTTGAGGATTACCTGTACTTTGGAGCCGAGGGCACACAGAGAACATAATAGCCATCCCTCAACACCCTAATCAACAACTAACGCTACCTACCACCTGCAACTCTATGAATACAAGGCGTAGAACAGCCCAATGTTCCCTCAACGTCAACCAGTCTAGAATTAAGGAGAAATTTCCTGACAGTGAGAACAATTAACCAATGGAACGATTTGCTTCCAGATGTTGTGGGGGCTCCATCACTAGAGATTTTTAAGAAGAGATTGGACAGCCATTTGTCCGGAATGGCATAGGGTCCCCGTGCTTGAGCAAGGGGTTGGACTAGATGGCCTCTGAAGTCCCTTCAAACTCTGTTATTCTATTAAACTATCAGTGGAACAACTTGCCTTCAAGGCCCCTCCAAGCTCTGTGGTTCTATTATTCCCTGATGATGAGCTTCAGCATCAGCCCAAAGCTTGAAGGAATAAACTGACTCCGGTGGGGTCCTATAGACCAGAGGTCTCCCACCTTGGCAGCTTTAAGCCTGCTGGACTTCAACTCCCAGAATTCCCAGCTTTGCTGACTGGGGAATTCTGGGAGATGAAGTCCGCCAGGCTTAAAGCTGCCAAGGTGGGAGACCCCTGCTATAGACAACACGCTCTAAGGAGGAAAAAAGGACCCGAACTCATTCACGGCACATGATGGATCCCTGAAACCGGAAACGTTGATTCTTTCCGAGTTCCGAGAACGGGACTTCTCTGGCGATTCACTTCAGCGACCTTGAGCTGTTAGCATCCAGCCCAAAATAATTTATTTGGCTAGACAACCCATTTCTAAGGCTACGCTGGAATTTGCTTACACAGCACAATGGGCCGAGCGGTATATTTTAATTCCGCCTTGCATTATTTTTTGCTTTGGCATGTCCTCCAGTTAGAAATCCGGGGTGTAGCATTTCAGAGCAATTACCTCCGTGGTGGGAGAGGAAATTACAGGGTGTCTCGCTCCTCTGGCCAACGCCGGCCTTTGCCGGAGAGATGAAGGCTTTCCTCTTCATATGGAGCCCTTCACCCTTGGAGCCTTTAAGGCTTCTGAATTTCAACTTCAACTTTCATTTTTAACTTTAAGGCTTGTGAACTTCAACAGAGCAGGCATGCACGGGATGCTACAGGGCCCCTCCAGCGGTCGGTTTCACATATTCTTACCACCAGTTTGCCTCACGCACGCTCACTTCATGCATGTGCACGCCTCCCACGCATGTACCCGGCCTCGAAAACGTGGCTAAATAGGACGCCTTTAAACCGGGGCGAGTGGGCGGGCCCACCTGCAATCTCTGCTACCAGTTCGCCTGAACCAGTACGAACCGGCTGAATCCCACCACTGGGCCCCTCCCTTAAAGAGGTGGGACTGAGAAGAAAGGCCTTCTCCATGGTGGCTCCCCCTTTGTTATTTTTAAAGACCATCTTTTCCCAGTTACATCCCCCTGATCCACCCCAGCAGGGAGGCAGGAGATGTTATGAGACCCCCCCTCCCCACCCTTTAAGGAGGTCCATCTGGTGGGACTGAGAAGGCAAGAGAAGTCTACAACCCACACGATTGGATTAGCCTTCCAGTACACTGGAGAAGGGCCTTTTTCGTGGTGGCTCCCTCCCGGTTATTTTTAAAGACCATCTTTTCCCAGTCATATCTACCCATCCCACCAAAGTGGGGGAGGCAGGAGATGTTAGGGGTCCCCTCCCTTAAGGAGGTCCATCTTGTGGGACCTAGAAGAAGGGCCTTCTCCATGGTGGCTCCCTCCCTGTTGCTTGAAGGACCATTTTTTCCCCAGTTACATCCACCTGATCCACCAGAACGGAGAGGCAGATGTTATGAGTCCCCCCTCTTTAAGGAGGTCCATCTGGTCGGATCGAGAAGAAGGGCCTTCTCCATGGTGGCTCCCTCCCTGTGGAACATCATCCCTGTGGAGATAAAACTGGCCCCCACCTTCATCCTCTTTTGAGAGGCCCTGAAGACGTGGTTTTGCCAATGGGCATGGAGATCCCTCAGAGGGATACGGAGCCCATCCAGGGGTTGGTGTGATTGCTGTTGCCAGAGGAGTGGGAGCTGATGGATTTTGTATTTGGGGTTCTACTTGTGTAAACCGCCCAGAGTCACCATGAGAGAGTTGGGCGGCCATATACATTTTCTAAATAAAGTCTTCTGCAAAGGAACCCATCTTGGGGGTCTGCAGGTAACAGGAGGCTGATTCCTCCGTGTCTTTTCTGCTTCCAGTGAGGTGGACAAAGTCTTAGCAGGCCTGGAGATCTTGTCCAAGGTGTTTGACCAGCAAAGCTCCCCGATGGTGTCTCGGATCCTGCAGCAGGTAAACGTTGCTCGCGTGAGATGAAAGGGCCACCGAGGTGTCTCAAGGAAGGGAGAATTTTTGCAAGTCTGGGACAATGCATGGCACTTCTTCAACAGAGGGATCTGGGGGATTGACAGCCTTCCTGGTCCTTGGTTTTTGGAGGTCTCTTGGCCCAAGTTTTCCTTCCCTCCCCAGGGCAGGGTGGAAAAACTATTGTGTTGTGTGGTGATTGTAGGCCAATGTTTGTCAACCTTGGCAGCTTTAAGACTCGTGGACTTCAACTCCCAGAATTCCCCAGCCAGGCAAGTCCACGTGTCTTAAAGTGGCCAAGGTTGACAAACATTGATGTAGGCCAGAGGTCTTCAAACTTGGCAGCTTTAAGACTTGTGGACTTCAACTCCCAGCACAGCTGGCTGGAGAATTCTGGGAGTTGAAGTCCACAAGTCTTAAAACTGCCAAGTTTGGGGACCCCTGATGTAGGCTATGAAGCAAGAGAACAGCTGGCCTTCTGGAGTTATGGATGCTCCACCTCTGGAGGTTTCACCTGAAGTTCAGGCAGATGTTTCTATGGGGGTGATCTGAGGATATCTTGCCTTATCAAATGGGTAGATTAGAAGACCACCAAGGGATCTTCCATCTCTAGATTCTGGAATTCCATCAGATGTCCTCATAGGCGACACTGCCCAAATAGATCTTTAGAATGCAGCTTTGTCTGGAGATGGGTTTGGGGCGAGTCTCCTGGTGGAAGGGACAGGGTGAACATCGTTACCTGGAAAATCCTCCAGCTCATCATAAGTGGGTTTTTCGTAAGCAATGTCAGGATTATTTGAAGTCTTTTGCTACCAGTGTTGTGTCCTTAGTATGTTTTTGTGTTTATTCCATTGTGGGCTGGTGGAAAGACTACAGGAACCATCAACAAATAAGATGGGGGCTGGTTTTTTTAATTACTGTGATCTCCCCACCCCCAAATGAAAGTGATAAACAACTTGTATGGGTTGGGGTTAGTCATCTTGACTCCCTCCACGTCCCTCCAGCAGATAATCCTGGTCAGGAGTCGCTTTCCTTGGTTGGACAATAAGACCTCCAAGGTCCCTCCCTACCCTGTTATTCTGTTATTCCTCTCGGCTGTCGTTGGTGAGAATGAGCGGAGGGAGCTTAGAAGGTGACCTGAAATATTTGGACCCAATTCGATTCTGGCACCCTTGGACTATCTGGGGCCTCTAAGTCTCCACCTTGGACCTTTGGCTTTTCAAAACTCCATCTTGTTCACTTCCAGACTGCCGGGCAGACAGGAGAGCAGGAGTTGGACAGTTTGGTCCTGAAGCTGTCCATCTTGAAGGACTTCCTCTCCAATATTGAGAAGAAGGTAAGTCTTCTCCTAGCCTCACCTATCTTGGGCTGAGGAGCATCCAAGGGTCTCTTCGGGCAGCTGTCCTGACCCCCAAACGATGCTCTCCCCCCCAAGGGAGCCCAGCAGGATCTCCTCTCCAAGAGCTTCAGAACTTTCTCTAGTCGGTACCATCCATTGAGCTTAAATTCCCTAATGTAGGTGGTCCTATACTTGTTTAGTGTCCGTTTGAAGTTACAACAAAACTGAACATGGTGACTTATGAGCATTTTTCACACAACCTACAGTCATGCAAGAAAAATTTGGTTGCGTGGCAACTGGCATATATTTATGGGAGTTGTCACATGATCCCCTCTTGCCACCTTCCCAGCTGGCTTCTTACGAGCAAAGTCAACGGGAGATGTTGTATTCCCTTACTGACCACAAGATTCACTTAAGTGCAATGATTCACTTAACAACCATGGCAAAAAAATGGTTGTAAAATTTAGTGCAATTCACCTTGCTTAACAACGTAAATTCCAGTCCCAATTATGGTCATAAGTCCAGGATTACTTGTTTGTAAGGGAAAGTTTTGTGTTGTTTTAACCTGAGCAGTTAGACCAGCCGTGTGCCCAATTGGGGTGCTTTCTACAAATTAGCCTCTCAAGCCCATCATCCACAGCCAGCTTCTGGTGAGAACCAAATTGGGAAAGGTCAAAATAGATTTCCAAGGACCAAGTGATGTTGGGCAGGAGAATTAGCACTTCCTACGAGGAAGCAGAAAGCAGCAGGTGGACATTTGAAAAGACGGCAGGAACTCCAATCTCTGGAATTCCTTGGAAAAGGATTAGGAGGGGTGGGAAAGGGGGGCCGAAGACTTTGAGGTACCAATGAATGAAGGGAGCAAGGGGGTGGTTTGAGGAGGCTGGTGTGGAGGCCCCATGTTGAACTGCCGTTGTATCTCTTGTAGGCCCTCAAAGCTCTCCAAGACATGAGCTCCACCGCCCAGCCTGGACAGGCTCAGCCATGTTTCCGCAAAGTGAAGAGTATCCCGGTTCAGACATTCGAGGTGAGGGATGAGGACTGGAAGGCTGGATGTGAATCTGGTTTTTTTAAACCCTGAAGCCTGAAAAACACTGGGCAATATTTAAACATGATTTCTTGAGGGAACTAGAGGCTGGATTGGATTGGATTGGAATGGAATGGAATGGAATACTTTATTTGACCAAGAGAGTTTATTTATTTATTTATTTATTTATTTATTTATTTATTTATTTATTTATTTATTTTTTATTATTATTATTTTTCATTTGATTTATATGCCGCCCTTCTCCGGAGACTCAGGGTGGCTTACAATGCGTTAAGCAATAGCCTTCATCCTTTTGTATATTTTATACAAAGTCAGCTTATTGCCCCCACAAACTGGGTCCTCATTTACCTACCTTAGAAAGGATGGAAGGCTGAGTCAACCTTGAGCCTGGTGAGATTCGAACTTACAGTAATTGCAGACAGCTGGTGTTAATCACAATGGTATCAGTCTGCTGAGCCACCAGGCACACAAGGAATTTGTCTGCTCTCAGTGTACATGCAAAGCAACAGAACGATAATCATAATCATAATATCAATAAGAGACATGTGATAGCCATGTGTCATCTGGATAGAAATTAAGATTCCTTTTATGGAGCCTTAGATAGACGGTAAGATTAAATGTCTATGGAGATTCTCAGCCATCCATGTCACAGTTGTCCCAAAAGTCTTTTTTTCAAGAGGCAGCTGGACTTTCTGGTTTTTCCTTGAAGACATTTTGCTTCTCATCCAAGAAGCTTCTTCAGCTCTGACACGAATATAAATCCTTCCATTCAGTCAGAGCTGAAGAAGCTTCTTGGATGAGAAGCAAAACGTCTTCAAAGAATAACCAGAAAGTCCAGCTGCCTCTTGAAAAGACACCTTTGGGACCTCTCTGCAGGTGCTCAACCCACCCTGCTGTTCTGGAATTCTGGGTATTGTAGTCCCAGAAGTCTCCATCATAGGAAGGCAAATGAAATGGATCTCTTTGTAAAGCTGCCTTCCCAGATGGACCAGACAAAAAACATGACCAGCGGAGCTAATTCTATTTTATTGCAAAGTTACATGAACAGAATCTTGCAAGTTTGAAAGTACCAATCTCCTGCCATCTCTTTTACAGTCTGAGAAGCAATGGAGGTTCCTTCCTTTCTGAGTTTCTTTCTCCTCCCATTGTGCAGCTGAGGACTAAGCTCTCTCTTATTTGACTGCTCCCCTAGCCTGAATCTCTTTTCTTCCCTCTCTCAAGGTCTTTCCCACATGCCCTCACATGTTTTTGTCCTCAATGAGTCTGCCACTCTGCTCTGAGTTGGAGGTTACCTTTCCCTCCATTCATCTCCCTGCCCTTGCTTTGTAGTCCTCTGTCCCACCAAACGTGTTCAGCCTTGTGGGTCGGAGTTTGTCTCACAACTATGCCTGCTTTCAGGTGAAGCTGGACCTGACCTTGGGGGATCTGACCAAAATCGGGAAGTCGCAAAAGTACACCTTAAGTGTGGACGTGGAAGGGGGGAAGTTGGTGGTCCTAAAGAAGCAGAAGGACTCCCAGGAGGACTGGAACACCTTCACCCACGAGAAGAGTAAGTCCGCTCCCACCCGCTTCGGTCTGCAAACCTGAGCCGGTCCTTCAGCGGATGGCCAGGCTCGCTTCCCGCCTTCTCAAAGTCCTGGTTGGGTGTCCAAGGTTTGCCAACCTCTAAATGGAAACTGATGCAGGATGGAGGGGCTTCTCCCCAGCAGGCTAGACTAGAAACAACTACAGATAGTCCTCAACTTACAACCACTCATTTAGTGACCATTCGAAGTTACAATGCCCGTGAAAAAAGTGACTTAGACCCATTTTCTATGCCAGTTCCAGCATCCTTATGGTCAGGTGATCAAAATCCAGGTGCTTGGCAACTGGCATGTATGTATGTTTGTATGTATGCATGCATTTGTTTGTTTGTTTCTTTATTTGTGTGTGTTTGTGTGTGTCCCGGGATGACGGGATTTCCTGACCAGCACAGTCACTGGGGAAGCCACATTCATTTAACAGCCCTGTGACTAAGTTAATCCCTCCAACGATTCATTTAACAACTGTGGCAAGAAAGGTCGCAAAATGGGGCAAAAGCAATGTCTCACTTAACAACAACAAAAACTTAGGGCTCAATTGTTGTAATTTGAGGACTACCGGTGGAGAAGAATCCAGAACTTCTGATAAGGAAGTTTATTCTAGAGAAAGAAAAAGCCATTGTGGAAGAATTCTCCATCCTCCTCCTCTTCTTCTTCTTCTTCTTCTTCTTCTTCTTCTTCTTCTTCTTCTTCTTCTTCTTCTTCTTCTTCTTCTTCTTCTTCTTCTTTCTTTCTTCTTCTTCTTCTTCTTCTTCTCTTCTTCTTCTTCTTCTCTCTCTCTTCTTCTCTTCTCCTTCTCCTTCTCCTTCTCCTTCTCCTTCTCCTTCTCCTTCTCCTTCTCCTTGAGCTGTGCAAGGGTCTGGGTGGCCCTTCCTCTTTTGCCTGTGGGGGGAGGCAGTTTCCGTCTCTTTCTAGTTTTGCTCACGTCCAGATTTTCTGACCCTAACTCTCATATGACTAGAAGGTGGTCCTCAACTTACGACTGCAATTGAGCCCAAAATTTCTGGCGATAAGTGAGACACTTGTTCAGTGAGTTTTGCTCCATTTCATGACCTTTCTTGCCACAGTTGTTAAGTGAATCTGGCTTCCCCATTGAGTCTGTTTGTCTGAAGTTCACAAAAAAAGTGATCACATGACCCCAGGACACTGAGACCGTCATAAAAATGAACCGGTGGCCAAGCAGCCAGATCTCATGTGACCAGGGGGATGCAGCAATGGGTGTTAAGTGAAAAGCATTCATGACACTTTTTTTAGTGCTGTTGTAACTTCTCACAGTCACTAAACGAAGGGTTGTAAGTGGAGGACTACCTGTACAGTCAATTCCTGGGGATGGGTTGATGGGAAAGAGGGAATCTGTGTTTCTTGGCCACCCACCCCTCCTCCCTCTCCTCCTCCTCCTCCTCCCAGTCCGTCAGCTGATCAAATCCCAGCGGGTGCAGAATAAACTGGGGATCGTCTTTGAGAAAGAGAAGGACAAGACTCAGCGGAAGGACTTCGTCTTCGTCAGTGCCAGGGTGAGTTTGGATGACCTCAATGTAAGATGCCAGCTGCAGATGTGCTGCTCACAGAAAGGCGGCTGATTTTTAGTACAAAAATTCTTCCTGCTGGACTCCCAACTGGGTGTCTGTCCAGTTGTGAAGCAAAGTGGGGAACGCTGAGTGGGCTTTGGCTCCCCCCAACCAACCGGGGCTTCCTTGTCCCCCCCTCCCCCTCCAGAAGCGAGAGGCCTTCTGCCAGCTGCTGCAGCTGATGAAGAACTGGCACTCCAGCCAGGATGAGCCGGACATGATCTCCGTCTTCATTGGCACCTGGAACATGGGTGAGCCGGGTGAGGGGGAAGGGGGCAGGAGGGGGGGGGGGCTTCTGGGGTTGGGGAGATTTGGGGGAGAATCTGAGCAGGAGACGTCCCAGCAATCCAGAGCCGGAAGCCGGAAGCCCCTTCAGTCTCACTGCCAGGAAAAGGCTTTGATGCCTGCCAAGAGAAAGCACCTTCGTTAACATGGGGGGCTGTTCAAACAGGGGCCCATGGGGAGTTGGAGGGGTTTGGTGGGGCTAAGAGGGGAAAAAGGGCTTAGCCATAGAAATCCTAGAATTGGAAGGGACCTTGGAGGTCTTCTAGTCCAGCCCCTTATACCATTCTGGACTAGTGGCTGTCCAGTCCCTTCTTGAAAACTGTATGGATAAAGGTGCACAAAATCTTTCCTTCCTTCTTTCTCTCTCTCTCTCTCTTTCTCTCCCTCCCTCCCCCTTCCTTCCTTCCTTCCTTCCTTCCTTCCTTCCTTCCTTCCTTCCTTCCTTCCTTTTATTAAATTTATATGCTTCCGATATCAATACCCAAGGAAACTCTGGGAAGGCTCACAATACAAATTTTGGCCTGAAAAGGTGTGGCTTCTCCGCCCTGAACTCCATCCAAGCCCTCCTAATCAGCCTCCCTCCTCTCTCCCCCCGCAGGCAGCGTCCCCCCATCCAAGAACATCGCCTCCTGGTTTGCCTCGAAGGGGCTGGGCAAGACCCTGGACGAGATGACCGTCTCCATCCCCCACGACATCTACGTCTTCGGCACCCAGGAGAACTCCATGGGGGACAAGGAGTGGGTGGACGTCACACGCAGCGCCCTCAAGGACTTCACGGAGATCGAGTACCGGCTGGTGGGTGCGCAGGACTTGTGGGAGGGGCCCCCATTCCTTCTCTCCCCCCCCCCCAGGGTCTCTGTTCTGACCCGGCTCCCCAAAGACGACAAACCCTCTGAAGTGAACTCAAAGATTCCTTTAATTAGGAGCACCTGCAGCCCCGGCAAAAAGTTTATCTCTCACCGCAGGCTAAGAATTCCGTCCATCCGGAAGATGAAAAGTTGTCTGTCCCATCTATTCATCTCTGCCCCCTGCCTTTGATCCCCAGAGCTAGGGAGGGGCTTCGCTAGCAATGGTGGCTCTTCCGTCCCAAGGACCAGCCCATAGATTTCCACTGCTCTCCTCTCTTCTGCCTTCTGCGCATCTGCATATCAGGCACAGGACCCAGCTGTTCCTCCTCCTCCTCATCAGCCACCTCCAGACCTGGGGGCTGTTGACCCTCCATCTGACGGCTGACAGACGGCCCAGGCTCTGCCTCTGTTTCTCTCTCTCTGCCAGCTCCATTCCCTCGTCCCCCTCGGAGCTCTCAGGTTGCCTTGAGACTGACCCTGACTCCCACGCCCCCTCCTCTGAGTCGGCTGCTGGAGGGGCCATCCGCCGACAGGCCACAACAGTCTCTCTGTGGGTCAGCTGGACCTTCGCACCATCTCTGGCTTCCCGGCCTGGCGAAGGCTGATGCTTATCAATTGCGATGGCTTGTCTTGATTGCAGTTGTCTTTCCCACACAACTTTGATTGGGAGGCAATCAAAGTTCCTATTATAGTGGCTACACAAAGAGGGCCTGTCAGCTCCTGGTGCCAGCTTTGCCAGGACAGGGGACTTTGGGGGGTGAAGTCACCTCTTGCAACAGCCCGTGCACCATCCTCTCTGGGTGAGGGGGAGAGTGTCAACGGGCATCCGGCTGGAAGTGGCAGACAGAAAAACACCAGAAGCGCTGCAACACCAGCGAAGTCCTTGAGGAGGGAAGCCGTGGCTTCACACACAGCCCACAGGGGTCTCCTCTGTCCCCCAATTGAAGCCCCCCCTCTCATGTCCCTTCAGATCGCCATGCAGTCCCTCTGGAACATCAAAATAGCCGTCCTGGTGAAGCCGGAGCACGAGAATCGGATCAGCCACATTGGCACTTCCAGCGTCAAAACCGGCATCGCCAACACTCTGGGTAAGGAGCAGCCCGTCGGGGAAGGGGAGGGGCTGTGCTGCGCTCTCTTCTCAGGAGGATGGGCCCAGAGTGCCATGCTGGAGTGGTTTCAGGACCATGTCAGACCCTCTCCTGCAGGGCAGCTTGATTGACTGGTTAAGGTGCCTGGCTAGGAACTGGAAGATGGAGAGTTCTAGTGTTGCCTTAGACGTGAAAGCTGGCCCGGTGTCTTTGGGCCAGTCCCTCTCTCTCAAACCAATCCACCTCACAGGATTGTTGTTATGGAGAAAGAAGAGGAGGAAGGTGTGCTGGATATGTTTGTTGCCTTGAATTATTTGTAAAAATAATAAAGGCAAGATAACAAATTAAATATCTATATCTATTTATCTATCTATCTATATCTTTATCTATCTATCTATCTATCTATTTATCTCTCTCTCTATCTTTATCTCTCTCTCTCTCTCTCTCTCTCTTTATATCTATCTATCTATCTATCTATCTATCTATCTATCTATCTATCTATCGCAGAGGTCTTCAAACTTGGCAGCTTTAAGACTTGTGGACTTCAACTCCCAGAATTCTCCAGCCAGCTATGCTTTCTGGGAGTTGAAGTCCAGAAGTCTTAAAGCTGCCAAGTTTGAAGACCTCTGATCTATCATATCTATCTATCATTTCTCTCTGTGTGTGTTTCATCACTCTCTCTCTCTCTCTCTCTCTCTCTCTCTAATTATTAAATATGAAATTACAGGGTGGGGCAGCTGGACCGTTTCTTACCAGCGAGTAACGCACATCCTCTCCCATTTGCTCCGCAGGCAACAAGGGGGCCGTGGGGGTCTCCTTCATGTTCAACGGCACCTCCTTCGGCTTCGTCAACTGCCACCTCACCTCCGGCAGCGAGAAGACCGCCAGGTGAGCCCCCTCCTCCCTCCCTCCCGCCCACCCCCCAAACACAGTACAAGGGGGTTGAGTTTGGGGCTCTCCCTGAGTGGGAGTCAAAGGTGGACTGAGAATCCCCCCCCCCAATGATTGGAAGCGTCCCTGCGCTTGTCACATCATTGCATCAAACCACAAGGTTGTATATTCACACAACACGATCAGCACGAGTACAGGTCATCCTTGATTTATGACCACAGCTGAGCCCAAAATTTCTGTTGACACATTCGTTAAGAGTTTGCTCTATTTTATGACTTTTCTTAGCCACCATCGTTAAGTGAATCACCACGGTTGTTAAATGAGTCGCACTGTTATTAAGCGAATCCGGCTTCCCCACCGACTTCGCTTGTCAGAAGGTCGCAAAAGGGGATCATGTGACTCTGGGATACTTCACCCATCATAAAGGTGAGTCAGCTGTCAAGCATCCACATGTAAATCATGTGACCATAGGGATGCTACAATGGTCATAAGTGTGAAAAATGGTCCTAAGTCACCTTTTTGCAGTAACTACAAATGGTCACTAAATGGACGGTTGTAAGTCAAGGACTACCTATATTCAGACATGCATATTAAGACAAACTGGAATTGGGGGAACTTGGAATGGTTGGTGTCACTCTTTCTGGTGCTGTTGTAACCTAAACGAACTTATGATCATTTTTCACACTTACGACCATTGCCACATCCCCATGGCCCCGTGAATAAAATTCGGATGCTTGGCCACTGACTCATATTTATGACGGTTGAAGTGTCCCAGGGTCACGTGACTGGTGTTTGCATCCTTCTGACAAGCAAACTCAGCAGGGAAGCCAAATTCACTTTAAAAAAAGGAGTTGCTAACGAAACAACTGCAATCATTCACTTAGCAACGGTGGCACGAAAGGTCGTAAAACGGGGTGAAATTCACCTGAGAGAAATTTTGGACTCGGCTGTGGTCGTAAGTCGAGGACTCCCTGCCTGAGCAAGAGCCCGTTAAGCCCAACCTCCGGCCTCCCGTTGTGCCTTGCAGGAGAAACCAGAATTACCTGGACATCCTGCGTCTTCTGGCCCTGGGTGACAAGCAGCTGAGCTCCTTCGATATCTCCCTCCGCTTCACCCACCTCTTCTGGTTCGGGGACCTCAACTACCGCCTGGACATGGACATCCAGGTGAGGACGACGTTGGGTGGCGGGCTGTGCCGGGGACGGAATTGAGGAGGGGATGGTGCACCTGAGCATGGACAGAGGGCCGCTCCGTTGCCACAGAGACGGTGGGAATCCAGCTTGAAATTGGGGGGAGTGAACATGGCTGAGAAGGAGAGCTTGACCCACGGATTAAAAGAGACACGCCCCTTTTCTCCCCTCCTCTAGGAAATCCTCAACTACATCAACCGCAAGGAGTTTGAGCCTCTCCTCAAAGTGGACCAGCTCAACCTGGAGAAGGAGAAACACAAGATCTTCCTGAGATTCAGTGAGCAGCTGGTCCCACCAAAGGGATCCCTTCTTGCTTTCGACAGAGGAGAACCTTTGTCGCTCAGGGTTGAAATGAGGGTGCTCTCCGAGCTGGGTGATCTTCTTGTAGATGTTTCATGACCCAACTAGCGAACGTCATCAGTGCTGGGGGGGAGGAGGGTTTGAGGAGAGAAGAGGAAGAGGACAGGGGAGGAGGGAGAGGAGGAGAGGAGGAAAAAGAGAGGAGGAGATGGGAGGAGGAAGACTGTGGGCTCCTTGGTGCTCTCTGAGCTTGGTTCTTTTCTTGCAGACCTTTCATAACCCAACTAGGTAACATCATCAGTGTTAGGGGGGAAGGGGGGTTGCAGAGAGGAGGAGGAGGAGGAGAAGGAAGATTCTGGGGTCCTTGGTGCTCTCTGAGCTCAGTGGTTTTCTTGCAAACATTTAATGATGCTAGGAGGGAGGGAGTTTGCATGGAGGAGGAGGAAGACCATGATGACTGGGGGGGTCCTTGGTGCTCTCTGAGCTTGGCTGTTTTCTTGAAGACACTTCATGACCCAACTAGGGAACATCATCAGTGGAAGAAGGGAGTAGGATTTGCCCAGTCCTGCCACGGGCGATCTAGGAGCCCCAATTTTGGGGGGAAGGTCCACATTTAAGAGCCAAAATGGCTGCAAAAAGCAGCTTTTCTTGCACCCAGGTGTGAAACTGAAGGTTTCCCTGAACAGGAACACGAGGTTCTCTCTGAGAAAGTCCTCCTCCCCCACCCCTTTACCCTTCCAAGAAGATCCTGCTCCCCTGGCTCGAAGCCCCTCCCTAATAAAACCAGGTGGGCAGAACGTCTGACAGGATTGCCTGTTCTTCCTCTTCCAGGTGAGGAGGAAGTCACCTTCCCTCCCACCTACCGCTACGAGAGGGGCTCCCGGGACACCTACGTGTGGCATAAACAGAAGCCCACAGGGGTAAGTGCCTGGGGGTCCAGGTGGAGCTGGTTTTGGGGGGCTCGGGAGGAGGAGGAGGGGGGAGCTGTGGGGGTACGCTCTCTTGGCAGTTACTCAGCTTGAATAGCCATCAAAGAGTCCAGCTCCGTTGCAGAATCCAGACCCACCATGGGAGTTTTCTGGAGTTCCTTCAAGCACTTCATGTGGCACGAGTGTGAATTCTGGAATTTGAAACTCACACATCTTAATTTTTAATGAATTCTGGGAGTTGGTCGATGCATCTTAAAGTTTCCAGGGTTGAGAAACACTGCTCTAACCTGTCAGTGTGACCCAGAAACAAATGGAGAGACCTCCCATCTCCTGAGGTCTTGTTGTCTTGGCCAAAAACAGGACATCCATCTACCTTGTGTTGGGTATTACCAATGGACTCCAAACATCTCTGAGTGAATCCAATAGGTTTTGTAAACCTCACATGACCTCACCGAGGTTTACTTGGCTGTTTCCTCCATGTTCAGAGTCTGGATTATTTAAAAAAAAACACAAACATCTAGTCCAGCCAACATGGTGGAGTGCTCTTGATCCAATATGCAAAACGTCTCTTGTTTTCCCTGTCCCAGGTCAGGACCAATGTCCCTTCTTGGTGTGACCGCATCCTCTGGAAGTCCTACCCAGAGACACACATCAACAGCACCTCCTATGGTAAGTTCCACGCCACCGTGGCACTTTGGGCTTCCCTGGATGTGGTCGTAGCTGGACCATTGACACCTTCATCTGCAAGCATCTCCCCATCTTCTCTCCCATACAACTATGAGGTTACTTCAGGCTTTGTGGGGTGAATGACAGTCCCTTGGCCAGCCTCCTGTCTATCCCAGTTCCATGGGGGCTCATTGGTCCATCTGCAGCCTCCTCCTCCTCCTCCTCCAGGGAGAAGGGTAGATCCCACCCTGGTTGAAGGCATCTCTTCTTTTCTTGGTCAGGCTGTACGGATGATATCATGAGCAGCGACCACTCTCCGGTCTTCGCAGCCTTTGAAGTTGGAGTCACGTCCCAGTTCGTTTCCAAAAAAGGTATTTCCAGAGAAGAGGGTTGGGTGCTGTGTGTGTGAATAAATGATCTCATAGGGAGTTTATCCAGGGAAAAGGCTTTTCACTTCTGTCCAGACAGGAGGATCCGGGGCCATCTAAGAAACCTGATGGAAAGGAAATTAAAATAGTAGAGAGCATTTTTTCACAAGTGTATCGTCAACCTGGAAGAATGGTTACATCCATTTAACCTGGATTTGCTTTCAGAGGGGATCGTATAAATCCACGGGGAGACGTCCCTTGAGGGCTACAGTCTTTAAAACATGTTATCTCCAGAATACCAGTTACAGGGAGCAACATAATAATTATTGTTGTAAGAGAGAATATTTGTAGCTCAGGGTTCCTTGGTGTTCTCTGAGCTTGGTGGTTTTCTTCAAGATGTTTCATAACCAAACTAGCTAACACCATCAGTGATGGAGGAGGAGCAGGAGGAGGGGGAATTTGGTAATGAAATGTCTGCAAGAAGACAAGCTCAGAGACCACCAAGGACTCCACATCTGTAATGATGTGAACATCTCAGAGACTTCTATTTGGCCACCAGGTATCGGGCCCGAACAACCAGACCCACAGGGGTAGAGTTCAAACTAGCTACTTTATTGCTCTCTGCCTATTTTACAGGAATCTTCCCAGACTAGCAGGTTGGTCCAGGGAAAGGCTAGATAAGGCACAAAGGCATGGGGGAGTCATATCTTGCCCTCTTGTGTGCAGGGGTGGGGGAACTACGGCCCCTTTATGACCTGTGGACTTCAACTCCCAGAATTCCTGAGTCAGCCGGCTCAGGAATTCTGGGAGTTGAAGTCCACAGGTCATAAAGGGCCGTACTTCCCCCACCCTGAACTAAACGAGTCCATGCTAATCCTTCCTTTGATCCCTCCTTCCGACTGGAAGTCTAGGACAATTAGAATGGTTGCTCTCCAACATCGAGTGAAACAAACCTGGAATTAAGGTGGACCTTGGCCTGATTCAACAGAGCCGCCTTACATTTTTATTAAAACAAATTCGGGGAAAGTAACGTCGTTCCTTCTTCTCCATCTCTAGGACTCTCCAAGTCCTCAGACCAGGCCTACATAGAGTTTGAGAGCATCGAAGCCATTGTGAAGACAGCCAGCCGGACAAAATTCTTCATTGAATTCTACTCCACCTGTCTGGAAGGTGAGGTTGCCCATAATGTGCGAATGCCAAGAAGGATCTCCAGTCAGCTATAGAGGTCCTTCACTCAGAACTTCCTCCTCAACTTTTGATAAGCCACCGAGCACCAAGGACCCCACAGAGTTAAGGATACTGTGTAGTTGGAAACTAAATGTTGGAAACTTGAAGGAACTCATATGATCATGTTTTGTGGACTTACAAAAACATTGGAAAATATTGGGTTCAAATACATCATAGTAATACAGGGACTTGTAGAAACTAACATTTAACTAAAACCAGAATTGTTGAAGTTGTAAAGTCCGCACATCTTAAAGTGGCTCAGGTTGAGAAGCCACGTTCTCTTTGGAGAGTGACCATTATGAGACATCAAACGAACCTCTCCCTGCTCTTCCACTCATTGGTAGTCATCTGGACTTTTTAACTCCTGTCACATGGGTCCTCGTGATTTGGCAGAACATTCTCCAAATTTCTCCCAAGCATCACCCATTTCTTTGCAGAGAGGGAAGTACGACATCTTTACTTGGCAGTTAGAAACTCCATCTAGAGACCTTTACTAATAAACTTTCAAGGTAGTCCAAATCTGGACAAAGACTCCAGTCTTTGTAGTACCTTGGTACTACAGTGGTTTAAAGCACCCTGTTATTAACACAGCTGCCTGCAATTTACTGCTGGTTCGAATCTCGCCAAGGCTCAAGGTTGACTCAGCCTTCCATCCTTTCTAAGGTAGGTGAAATGAGGACCGAGTTTGTGGGGGCAATAAGCTGACTTTGTATAAATATACAAAAGGATGAAGGCTATTGCTGAGCACATTGTAAGCCGCCCTGAGTCTTCGGAGAAGGGCGGCATATAAATCAAATTAAAATAATAATAATAATAATAATGTTGTCTCTGTTTCCCAGCCTTAAAACAGGTTCTCGGTTTTGAAAGCATCTCAGCCTAGTTCCTTCTCTTTTTCCTCCTAGAATTCAAAAAGAGCTTTGAGAACGATTCCCAGAGCAGTGACAACATCAATTTCTTGAAGGTCCAGTGGTCCTCCAGACAACTGCCCACGGTGAGTGCTCCCTTCCCATCCACCAGAAGGTCAACTTTGCTACAAGGGTCCTTGAAGGGTAGAGGAGGGAAGCTTAAGGGCAAGGATGGGAAGGGGGCAGGAAAGAATGTTCTGGAAGAGAAGCACCTCGAAGCTTCCCTGCATTAGGAGATGCTCCAACGCTGATCCTCAGGAGCACCGCTAGCTAAGGTGGCCACCATCTCTGACTTCTCTGTCCACAGCTCAAGCCGATCCTCTCGGACATCGAATACTTGCAAGACCAGCACATCTTGTTGACCGTCAAGTCTCTGGATGGCTACGAGTCCTATGGTGAGGAGCTGAAACAGTCGAGTGGGTCTCCAAGACCTCATCCTTGTTGTATAAACCCCCAGCTCACTTTGCAAGGGAACAATTCTGGGAGTTGAAGTCCACCCATCTTACAGTTGCCAAGGTTGGGAAACCCCGCCTTGAAACCCTGTTTTCCTCGTTGAAGCCATCGCTGCATAGTTTCACCAAGGTCATGGACCTTCTCCAAGTCACGGAGACTAGGTCTTCTCTGTAGATCAGTGGTCCCTAACCTTCTGGCACCAGGAACCATTTTCATGGATGACAATTTTTCCACAGACCAGGGTTGGGATGGTTTCACAATCCTGTGTAGATGCAGTTAAAACTTGGCTCGCTTGCTCAACGTTGTGCGGCCTGGTTCTTAACAGGCCCGGTATTGATCCACGGCATGGTACTTGGGGAGCCCAGCTGTAGATTGTCTGGACTGTAGATTGTCACAGAGCTACAGGTGGAAGACATGAGCAGGCTGATTGGCCTGTTCACCTTGATAAGCTAAGTGGGATTCAGCATTCATTGGGTCAACTGAGACGCTGTTCTGACTCGGATCCCCAAACACGACAAACTCTCTGAAGTGAACTCAAAGATTCCTTTATTAGGAGCCCCAGCAGGCCCCGGAAAAAAATTTCTCTCTCACTGTAGGCTAAGAATTCCGTCCGTCCGGAAGATGAATAGTTGTCTGTCCCATCTATTCATCTCCCCCCACTGCCTTTGATCTCCAGAGCTAGGGTGGGGCTTCGCTAGCAGTGGTGGCTCTTCCGTCCCAAGGACCGGTCCATAGATTTCCACTGCTCTCCTCTCCTCTCCCTTCTGCGCATCCGCATATCAGGCACAGGACCCAGCTGTTCCTCCTCCTCCTCATCAGCCACCTCCAGACCTCCTGGGGGCTGTTGACTCTCCATCTGAGGGCTGATGGACGGCCTAAGCTCCGCCTCTCTCTCTGACGGCTCCATTCCCTCTTCCCCCTTGGAGCTCTCAAGTTGCCTTGATGCTGACCCTGACTCCCACCCCTCCTCCTCCTCATCCAATTCGTCAGCTGGAGGGGCCAGCAGCCAACAGGCCACAACAGATGCCCTCAATCAGTGGCAGAATAAGGGATTCCTAAGTAAGCCAACTGAATTGAGAGGCTCAACTTCTCCACAGTTCTGAAATTGTGAGCTCGGAGAGGGTGAGTCCCCCAGATCCATTCCTCAGGCCTTCGCTCAAGATGTGTTTCGAGCATCAAGACCAACTTCGTTGACCAAGAGTCAATCCAACACAAGATCCCATCTCCTTGTGCCTCCCAGCCCACCGGCTCTGTTGCTTCCTTCCCCAGGAGAGTGCGTCATCGCCCTCAAATCCATGATCGGAAGCACGGCGCAGCAGTTCCTCACCTACCTCTCCCACCGGGGGGAGGAGACCGGCAACATTCGGGGGTCCATGAGGGTTCGGGTCCCAGCAGAACGGATGGGGACTCGTGAGAGGCTGTATGGTGAGTTGGCAGAAGAGGAGTGAGGTGGATGGGAGGTGTTGGGGGGGGGGGGCTTACTTAGCAGGTGGGCTGAAGAGCTAACATTTGGATAATATGAAAGACAGATCTGGAGTAGGGAGACCGGTTAGATCCGAGGGGTCCTTGGTGCGCTCTGAGCTTGGTGTGTTTCTTGCAGATGTTTCATTACCAAACTAGATAACATCATCAGTATTAGAAGGGAGTGGTTCCTTGTTTGTCTGCGTTGGTAGATTAGAACTGATTAGATCTGAATCCAGAGCTTCTCAAGATACACAGACACAATTTCTAGATTTCTAAGACAGTTGCTTGTTTACATGACGGGGAAGCGAAGACAGAAGTCCCCAGGGAGCCCTCTGGGCCAGCGGTGCTTTGCAGGGGGGTCTGTGTGTCACCCTTTCACACACACACACACACACACACACACACCCCTGAGATTGTCCTCCATCCTCCTCCTCTTCAGAATGGATCAGCGTCGACAAAGATGAGACCGGAGCTGCTAAGGGGAAGCTGCCCCTTCCGGCATCACGGACCAACCTGGAGCACACCAAGTAAGGCCCAGTTGGGGAAATGGGGAATTTGGGGGAAAATGGAGCCGTGGGCAGAGTTTATTTCAAAACACACGGAGGTGGTATTTTTTTTAGAGTTTTGCTAAGGAAAACTAGTCCGATTCAATTCTACATTTGTGTAACAGCAAATCAGAGGCTTTGGGTCTGGTTTTTCCCGTCCCCTGGTCTAAAAATGTCTTCAAGGTTCCTCTCATCCTCCCTTAAATAAGGTCTCTCTTCCTGGAGGGCACCTGGTTGGGGAAGGGGGACTCCTGCAGCCTTCCCACGTTCTTCCTTTGGAGGCTGGACGTTTGTCAGGGGAGCATCTCTCCCCCCTCCAACTTCTCTCCACCTTCCTTTCTCCCTAGATCCGTCGGGCGCAAACATTCTTTAGGGGAAGGTCCCACCTGTCCCGTTGGGAAGCTCTCAGACGAACAGGAGAAGCCCAGCGTCCTGACAACCAGCCGCCCACCTGCTCCACATCGTGGTACCTCCAAGGAGGAGGCCTCCCAGCAGGGCAGGTGAGTGAGCCTCAGCCAGAAGGACCGGGTGGCCCATTAGCCACGGAGGGGTTTAGGGCTCTCCTGATTCCTTTCCTGGAGATCTGGTCTTCTGCCCACTGTTCACATCCACCTTCTGATTGTAGTGTTGACCCATTCCAGGTGATCATCTCTTCTCCTTTTTTCCCTTTGTTCCTGATGTCCCTGCGGACATGGCTCCATCAGCAGCCACGATCTTGATCTTATTTTATTTATTTAATTAAATTTATATGGCACCCATCTCACTTATGGGGTCCCGCACTCTGTTTAAGGAAGGAGTGTCCAACCTTGGCAGCTTATAGTCTTGTAAACTCCCGGAATTGCCTAGCCAGCCATGTTAAAGTCCACAAGTCTTAAAGTTCAGTTTAAGGTCTGCTGCCTTGAGCAAGGGGTTGGACTAGAAGACCTCTGAAGTCCCTTCCAGCCCCACAAATCTATGTTCAAAGTTTCCATTCCTCGTAGGTTTTACCTTCCAGGTTCCTTCATGTCCCAAAGGTGCTTTCTTTCAAAAGGCAACTGGGCTTCGTTTTTCTTTGAAGACGCTTCGCTTCTCATCCAAGAAGCTTCTCTCAGTTCTGACTGAATGGTGGAAGATGGAAGGATTTCTATTCCTTGAATCATCTGGTCGTTATGAAAGTCGTTGAGGCCACTTGGAGGTTTATCTGTGCTGAGACAAATGCCCAGGTTTCTGCCTAGATAAACCTCCAAGTGACCTCCAGGACTCCCAGAGAGAGCGCTAACGACCAGATGACTGCATGGAATATGCAGTAAGTCCTTCCATTCTCCACCATTCAGTCAGAACTGAAGAAGCTTCTTGGATGAAAAGCGAAACGTCTTCAAGGAAAAACAGTTGTCTTTTGAAAAAGCACCTTTGAGACAACCGTGGCCCAGATGACAGAGAATCTGCATGGACAGGGTCCTTCATGGTTCCTCTGCTTGCCGTGTCCTTCCTAGGCCAGGGTGCCCAGGGAAGGTGCCACTTCTGATGTGCATCTGCTTGGCCACCGTGAACAATGAAAGGCAGCGATGGGGGTCTCTCTCCTTTTGGGGCCCCGCCAGTGACATATGGGGAGCATGCCTCGTCTCGGAAGGGTCTGGCGGTGCAGCCAGGACTGAGCAGTCCCCTCTCCTCTTGTGTAGGCCGAAGCAGGAGGTGGCCATGGACCCCGAGGGCCCCCCACTGAAGAACAGCTTCAACAACCCTGCCTATTATGTGCTGGAGGGGGTCCCCCACCAGCTCCTCCTCCCAGAGTTGTCACCGGCGACCTCGGCCAAGCCCCCCGCCCCCCGGAACAAGGTCCAGATCACAGTGCCCATCCAGCCGGAGTCCTGGCGGTCCTCACAGCAGCCGGCCTCCCAACGGGCTGAGGAGAACGCTGAAGAGGAAGAGCCGGGGGTCCTCAACCTGCCTCCCCCAGACTTCCCGCCCCCTCCCTTACCCAAATCGGTGGCCTTGGAGATGGCGGAAGGGGCCCTTTACAACCCAGTTGTGGGCGTCAGAGGAGAGGATCACGTGGCCGGCAAGCCACGTGCCACCGTGGTCTTCAGCGAGCCCCTCAAGACCAAGCCCCCCAAACTGCATCCCAGGCCGGCCTCGTCCCTGGGGTCGGGGTACCTGCTGGACACTCCCACCGGACCCCAGGGCATCCTGGACGACCGTTCTTGCTCCGTGCTTCAGATGGCCAAGACCCTCAGCGAGGTGGAGTACTCCAGCGGAGGCGGCCTGGGGAGGGAGCAAACGGGCCGGCCCCCCTCCCACCCCCTGAGCAAAGTCAGGCTGGATCTGGCCCACCGCTGCCTGCCGCCCGAGTACAGCCGCCCCGGGGGCTTCCCTGCCCGCTCCATCCGGGAGAGCATCCAAGAAGCGGAAGAGGTAGGTCCCTGTGCCAGGAGGGTAGAGGTAGGTCTGTCATAACTTAAAAGAATTGCTCAGCAACCCGTCGTAAGTTGAGGACTACTTGTATTTTCTGCTGGGTTTGGATTTGTTGCCTTGGCAACGGATCTCACCTGCCTCCCTCAAAGTCTTCTGCCTTACCCTCTATGGATGGGCTTTGTAGTCCAACCCAGAATCCAGATGCTTTCTGCAGAGATGGGGTCACATTGGGTAGGGGGATGCTAGAAACCTTCCCCCTCCCCACGTTCCGCATTTGCAGAGAAGGCTGGGGTTGTTGGGTGGCCCGGCCTGGTCTCTGACTTCCTCCTGCTGCTCCTTCATAGACCCTGACCCAGGAGGGCCAGAGTGGTGGCTCCAGGCGCAGTGAGTCCAGCGTGGGGGAATGGCTGAGGGCCATCGGCATGGAGCGATACGAGGAAGGGCTCATCCACAACGGATGGGACGACCTGGAGTTCCTCAGGTGAGTCTGTGGTGGGCCGTTTGGTCTAGTGCTTAAGGTGCCTGGCTAGAAAGCGGGAGATGGTGAGTTCTAGTCCCACGTTAAGATGAAAGCAGCTGAGTGACTTTGCGCCAATCACCAGGTGACAGTGAGTTCTAGTCCTGCCTTTGGCACCAAAGTTGGCTGGGTGACTGGGCCAATCACCAGGAGAGCAGATCTAGTCCCTCGCCTTAGCCATGATTGCCAACTGGGTGACTTTGGGCCAATCACAAGGAGGTGGAGAGTTCTAGTCCTGCCTTAGCTGGATGACTCAGGCCCAGTCCCTCTCTCTCTCTCAGCCTGGCCCACTTCACAGGGTTGTTGTTGTGGGGAAAATAAGAGAAGGGAAGTGTGTTGAATGTGCTTGCTGCCTTGAGTTATTTTTAAAAATAATAAAGGCCAGGTTCTAATAAATAAATAAGTAAGTAAGTAAATAAAATGAGCTGGGAGAAAGCAGAACCGAGATGGTCTTTGTGAGGCAACTGCTTTCTGGCTGGGAATTGAGATGCCATGAGGGAGCATCACCGGAGGATTCAAGGGGGGAGGGTCTCTAAGACAAGGGGGAAGCGAGGAAGGGACCACACGGCCTTTGCCTCCAAGAACACCCAGCCTCAGGACGAGAGAGAGGCAGCAAGTAGAACAGCAGCTGCTGTGTTGGTGCAAAAGCCAAGGAACGCAACGTGTGCCAGGGGATGTGCCAACCCCGGGGTCCAAAATGTCGAGATCTTTCCATCTTGGAACAACCTCCGCAGAGATCCTTGCCTTGGGCCTATTTCACAGGTCGAGCGTCATGGAATAAATCCTCTGAGGAGCACCAAGTCTTGCTGAGAAGTCATCACCTTTGCTTCCCATCTTGCATGCCTACAAAGAAACCTTTAGCCAAAGAATGCTACCTTGCACACTTAATTAGCCTCTGCTTGCTGGCTGTCTCCTTGCAGCTGAAGGACCAGCCCTGCCACTGCCCAGTTTGGCCACCAGGGGGCGGTCATTCTCGAGCAATGGCAGGACAGGTGTGCTCAAATCCTCTGCCAGGTAGCAAAATCTGGGAATTTGCTCCTGGGTCTTTTTAGTAATTTAGTAATCAGCCTCTAGGGAAGATTTAGGTCAGAAGTGTCCAACCTTGGCCCCTTTAAGACTTGTGGACTTCAACTCCCAGAATTCCCCAGCCAGCAAAGCTGAAGTCCGCCAGGCTTAAAGTTGCCAAAGTTGGAGACCCCTGGACTAGAGGACCTCCAAGATCCCTTCCCTTCCAATTCTCCAACACAGGGGTCTGCAACCTTAAACACTCAAAAGAGCCATTTGGACCCGTTTCCCACAGAAAAGAAAACACCGGGAGCCACAAAATCCTTTTGACACCTAAAATGCAGATAACACTCTGCATATATCGTTTTTTACCTTGATGCTATGTACAAAAAAATGATAGTGTGTTGCACTTATGAAATCAAAGAACTGCTACAGAGAAAACAAATTTTTATTTCTCCAATGAACAAAAACATTTTGAACGCCAAAAAAAAAAAAAAAGTTCAATATATCACGTGCCAGCAGGTATTGCACAGTGGTGGTTGTGACTCATATTTTGAGCGACAGGGAACCGCAGGTTGCAGACCCCTGCTCTAACATAACCTCCTTCCTCCTCCCCCTGTCTCCCCCTCCCCTTTGCAGTGACATCACCGAAGAGGACCTGGAAGAGGCTGGGGTGATGGATGCCAGCCACAAGCAGCTCCTCCTGGAGAAGCTCAAGAAATAGCCAGGACTTCTGGGGGCAACGTTGGCCCGCATGCCAGATGTGCCTTCTCCTTCAGATTTCACCCCCTCCCCCCTTACAGCTGCCCACCGAGGGTCCGTCTGCCTCCTTTTCCGGCCATCTCCCCCTGGAGGGGAGGATCGAAGCTCACCTGTGGCCTGCAGCCCCCATTTCCGGATGGGGCCGGAACATCTTTGCTCCTGGAGACCCTGGGGGTGGGGTGGGGGGTCTGAGCAGCTGGAAGGCGACATGGCCTCGGCCTGTATGTGGGTTGAGGCTGCCCTGGGTTAAGTTATTCTTATTTATTGCCACACAAGAAGGACCCCCGTGTTTCCCCCCTTTTCCTCACAGAGAACCACATTCCCCCTCCAGGTCCCCTGACTCCTGGGAGGGGGGATTCCCAGGAGAAGATCCCCCCCCCCCGAACTGCTGATGGGGAAACCTGTGGCTTCCAGGCCTGAGATGCCAGTGGACATGTCACCAGCCAACACCCCCCCTCCCCTCAATTCAGAGATCGGAGGCAGCTGGAGTAAATTCCTTAACAATTTCACAGGGTGGGGAGGGAATTTGGAGACGGAGCCAGAAGGATGTTCCAGAGTCCGTTTGTCCCCCTCCCCAAGACAGGACTCACGGGAGGTGAATTGTCACGTCCCACCCTTGGCCTCGTGGTGCTGGCGATGGCCGGCTTTTCTTCTGCCACCCACTTACCGTGTGGGTCTTCCCTTGTCCCATCATTTCACAATTTCCTGGAAACTTTTACGAAGCTTTTCAAGGTCCAGCCAGAAATCCATTTTTGGTATCTTGCCTTGGGAGCATTTTAAGCCTTAAACCAGGGGTGTCCACCTTTGGCCACTTGAAGACTTGTGGACAACCAGACTGGGGAATTCTGGGAGTTGAAGTCCACAAGTCTTCAAGCGGCCAAGGTCGGACACCCCTGCCTTAAACCAACATACATCTCCTCCTCACTCGAGGGTTTTAACCGTCCCGTGGACGACAATCTCCAAATTAAACTCAGGTAGCCTCCAGGAAAGAAGGCCCCCTCTTGAGAGGCAGTGCCAGTTCTGGTAGAATGCTCTTGGACAACCGGAGAGATCAAGCTACTGAAGCCCTGGACCACCACCTCCGCGAGGTCTTCCTGCCTGCCTGCTAGAAGCTGCCGGTTCTCCAGAGGAGCCCATCATGAAGAAGTCTGGCTCAACGGGGGATGGACCATTTGCTGACCAAGAGGACCGTGTTGTCCAAGCTGTAGAGCTGGGATCTTGGCAAGGACTGACTCTTGACTAGGTGGACCTAGTTGGGATGTTCAGTGCTGGAGGAGGACAGTAGAGTCCTGTCGTGCTTTGCTGGAGGTCCACCAGCGTTGAGGTTCTCCTGACCACCTCGTTCCTTCAAGTCCTTTCATCCAGCAGATGCCACATCAGGCCAGCCTCTTTTCATCTTGACTCGGGAGCGACCTGGGGGCCAGGGGCTGCTCTCCTTACCTGTGCAAACCATGGTGCCTGCAGAGCCTGTTTCGATTCGGGCCAAGGCAGCAAAAGGCTGGAACCCAGGCCATCGCCTTGCTTCTGCTCTCCTTTCCCTCTGGGGAGGGGGATTTCCCCCTTGCTCCGTGCCTTATTTTACACTAGGAAGATGTGGGGGAGGCGGAGAGACAGGGGCTCCCCCCCACCCCCGTTGCAAGAAATTTCAAGTGAAATCTAACCCAGTGGGGCCTTGTTGAGGGGTTTCAACACAGCTCAGATCCCAGTTAGTGACTGACAGTCTCTTCCTGCATCTCGTAAACCTTGTGGACAAGTGTTGAAATTGTCCTTGTGGCAGTTTGATTGGCACAACTGGGATCTCTCAACTGTGGTGGCTAGAAGATGGGAGGGGGGGGACTTCAATTCCCAGAATTCCCAAATCAGCACAGCTTCCTCCCTCCCTCTTCTTCCTTCCCTCCCTCCTTCATTCACTCACATCTTTTTCCTTCCCTTCTTCCTTCCTCCTTCCATCTCTCTTGTCTCTTCCCCCTTCCCTTCTTTCTATCCCTCCCTTCTCCCCCCTTTCTTCTTTCCCTCCCTCTTTCTTTTCTACCTTCCCTTCCTCCCCTCTTTCCCTGCTTCCCTGTCTCACTTCTTCCTTCTCTCTCTCCCTCTTCTTTCTTCCTTTCCTCCCTTCCCTCTTTCCCTGTCTCCCCCACTCACTTCTTTCTTCCTTCTCTCTCTCCCTCACTCCCTCTTTCTTTTCTTCTTCCCTCCTCTTTCCTCCCTCCCTCCCTCCTTCTTGCCCATAGCTGGCTGGGGAATTCTGGGAGTTGAAGTCCACCCCTCTTCAAAGTTGAGAAACCATGAGCATAACCATGGTTGGATGACGTGAGAAGACACTTGAGGTCCCTTCATGGAGATGCTGCTGAGAACCTCCGTAATTTCCAGCTCACGGACATGGGATCTGGGGAAGCTGGGAGTTGTAGTCCTCCCCAGGAACGGAGGAGGACTCTGGGTCGGGCTTCCAGGATGACTGCCCCCACCTCTGCCAAGAGCAGTTCTCCGAGACAGAAATGAAGGATATTCCGTGTTTGTCGTTCCTTTATTTGGTTCCTTTGCCACTTGGGGGAGAAGTCAATGATTTTGTGCTGCCTTTCATCTTTTTTTCTCTTCAGTTATTACTAATGTTTGGTGTGAGTTTAACCTTACCTAATTCTACTCTGTTGTGTTGTGTGTGCATGTGTGCTTTTTAAATGTTTAATTTAATTTCTATTTTGAAACTCTCTTTATGCTTAATATCTTAGGGGCAGAAGAAACGGCTGCAACGTTCTTCCGGTCCTGTTCACATTTCATGCCTTAGAAGATCAGAGGTGGGGAACAACGATGGGCCTTTCACGACTGGTGGACTTCAAGTCCCAGAATTCCTGAGCCAGGGTAGCTCAGGAATTCTGGGAGTTGAAGTCGACAAGTCATAAAAGGCCCATCGTTGTTCCCCACTCCTGCCTTAGATTGATACGTCATGATACAATAAAAGGGCTTGTTTGCGTACTGAAGTGTCCTTTTCATCGTTCTCTAGCTAGAAGCGGATAATATCACAATTTGAGGGGTGTTGTGAGTGTTGTGGAGGCCCTTGCAAAATGGGAGGTGTTTTGTGGAAACCCGAAAAAAGGGGTTGCTGACCGATTCAGCTAACCCTCAATCAAGAAAGTAAATTTAATGCAAAACAGATCCAGCCATGCACACCTCTAAACTAATTTTTTTCCTGTCCAATTTGCGGGGTTTCTGGAACATCAATATTTTAACATGCCGGCTGAGGAATTCTGGGAGTTGAAGTCCACCCATGCATGCTGTGGGGTGGGGGTGGGTTCTAGGAGTTGAATTCTACCACCTACACACTGGAGGATTCTGGGAGTTGAAGTCCACACATCTTAAACTTCCCAAGTTTGGCAAACTCAACTTGATGGAGCCAGGCCAGGGCCTTGTTTTGCCTATCTTCCAAGAAACAACCGGAGGGAAACAGCAGCTGAATAAGCCAGCCCCTCCATTACAAAACCTGGTTGTGTGAAGCTGCTTCCCACACCATCATGAGCCAAGCCACATCTGCCAAGGATGCCCTAAAACATGGCCAGTCCCTTGCCATCCCAAGGGCTCTTCTTGGAGGGCCGTTTTGGACCCCTTCTTGAGATGGGAGAGTAGCTAAAGATCAGGAAAAAATCTGGACCAAAAGGTTGTGGGGAAAGTCCATTCTGAAGCACTGTTGCTTCAAAATGCTTGCTGTCATATCATTCTTCGGCATATTTATTTTGATTTTCAAAGAAAGCTATAGAGTTAGTTTGGTCTAGCAGTTAAGGTATCTGGCTAGAAAGCAGGAGGCCACGAGTTCAAGCCCCACCTTAGCCAGGAAAGTTGACTGGGTGAGCCAGTCCCTTTCTCTCTCAGCCCCATCCACCTCACAGGGTTGTTGTTACGGGGAAAAGGAGAGGCGGAAGAAGGTGCGTTGGACATGTTCACCACTACCCCTTGAATTATTTGCAATAAAGAAAGAAAAAGAAAGAAAGAAAGGCAGGATACAAATAAATAAGGAAGTTGAAAGGAACTCCCCGTTGCGTTCTTCAATAAATTAAGTTTATTTGGATTAGCAGATTTTTGCAAATCAATAAATTACAGAGCAGGGAAGAAACAAAAGCAAGCAAAGCCACACGGAACAGCTGACCAGGGATGGTGGGGGGCTCAGCTTTGTGATTGAGGGGGGCAGAGATCCAGTTTTGAAGGGGGGAATACTGACCTGGCTAGGAAGCCACATTTGACTTGCTTGTGGCCATCACAATTGCCTAATTAGCCTTTCCTATTCAGTGACCTCTCTGGGAGTGTTAGGCAATAACTCCACCAGAGATTGGACAATACCGGGCAGTAAAACCCAACCCTTCTTGTGGCCATCATCTCCCTGGAAATCCTTATCTACCATCGTGGTTGGACTTCACCCCTTCTTCAATTACTTCTTCTGAGCTCCCAACCCTGGATCTCAAAGACCTCTCCTCTCTAAACCAGGCGTGACCCAGATCTTCACCTCTTGAAGAAGTCTCGGTTGCTTCTGCATAGGATGAGGCTACTGGAGATGTTACTACTGGTTCATAGACAAGGGAGGTCCCAGTCTGCTTCTTCAGTGGTCTTATCAAGTTGGTTGGGATGAGAGGCACCAGTTTTGATCCAGGCTTCTATCTATCCTAATTTGTGCCAAGATGAAGAACCACGAGAAGGCGAGAGCTTTCACAGCTTCCTTTAATCCAGGGGTGTCCAACTTTGGCCACTTGAAGACCTGCGGACTTCAACTCCCAGAATTCTCCAGCCAGCCATGACATGGCTGGCTGGAGAATTCTGGGAGTTGAAGTCCTCAGGTCTTCAAGTGGCCAAGGTTGGACACCCCCTGCTTCAATCCCTCCATTTCACAAAGTCTGTTTGGATTTTTGTGGCGTAAACTCAGTTCCCTCAATGAAGAGGCACACGCAGGGCACACGGGACTTCACACTAAAATGAAGAAACTGGACGGATGCCCAGAATGTCCAAAGGAGAAAAAAAAAAACCAGGAGGAACGTAGAAATGGCCAGTTGAGAGGAAGAAAGTGGACGGGGCCAGCTTTTTTTTGGAAGAAGTTTATCCATTGCTTCTTTTTGTTCCTCTCTCCCTCCTTCTACAAATTCAGAAGGCCTCCATGTCATGAAATCCCTTCCTCATCACGGAAATACAAAATGGCTTCTCTAGGCCTTCGAGAAGTAGGGAATTCTGGGAGTTGAAGTCCACTCAAAGATGCCAAGATTGAGGTGCTTTAGAGAAACCTCCCTGGGTACAATGGATGCCATCTCCTGCTGCAAAGGACCTGGGGTGGGGGGAAACTAGGAGCTATACACCTGCTCTGCCACCCCTGCCTTTTTTGACAGGAGATTGTGCTCCCTCCTCTCTGTACAACATATCAAAAACGGTTGCAGGAACTCTAGTTTAATGAAAAGAAGGACTAGAGATGATGTAATAGCAGTGGTCCAGTATTTGAGGGGCTGTCCCAAAGAAGCGGGGGGGGGGGGGTTCCACCTATTCTCCAAAGCACCTGAAGGCAGGACAAGAAACAAGGATTGGAAACTAATTGAGAGAAGCAACCTGGAATTAAGGAGAAACTTCCTAACAGTGAGAACAATTAACCTGTGGAACTGCTTGCCACCAGAAATTGTAGGTGCTTCATCACTGGAGGTTTTTAAGAAGAGACTGGACAGCCATTTGTCTGATATGGTATAAGGTCTCCTGCTCGAGCAAGGGATGGGACTAGATGACCTCTAGGATCCCTTCCAGCTCTATTCTGATTAATGTATTAATTCTCCAAGATGGGGCCACCAGCAATCAGAAAAGTTGCAGAATCTCCAATACAATGCAGGGAGTCCTCGACTTACGACCAAAACCGGAACCAGTTTTTCCATTGCTATTCCTTTCTGATTATATTACCTTTTTTCCACAGGGTTGTTAAACAAATCACTGCTGGTTAAGTGAATCAAAGACTTATTAATCACTACAGTTCAGGGGTGACATCCAGCAAGTTCTGACAGGTTCTGGAGAACCGGTAGCGGAAATTTTGAGTAGTTCAGAGAACCGGCAAATGCCACCTGTGGCTGGCCCCAGAGTGGGGTGGGAATGGAGATTTTGCAGTATCCTTCCCCTGCCACGCCCACCAAGCCACGCCCACAGAACCGGTAGTTAAAAAATTTGGATTTCATCGCTGCTACAGTTGTTATTTGAATCACACCGTTGTTAAGAGAATCCGGCTTCCACCACTAACTTTGCTTGTCAGAAGCCGGCTGGGATGGTCATATATGGAGATCACGTATCCCCAGGGATGCTGCAACCGTCATAAGTACAGGCCAGTTGCCAAATGTCCAAATTTTGATCATGTGACTATGGACTGCAATGATCATAAGGGCGAAAAATGATTGTAAGTCCTTTTTTTCAGTGGTATTGTGACTTCAGTCACTAAATGAATGGTTGTCAATCGAGGACTACCTGTGTTGACATAGCAGGCTTGAACTTGGTTCTTGGGTTGACCCATTTTCTGGCTTCACAGGGTCAATGGTGCCTAATCTAACCCAACAACTGGATTTGTATAATATGCTACTCCACATAGTAACCGACCAAGGTTAATCCTACGCAAGCTTAATGTGCGAATGCAGCCACCAGGTTGTGAATGGCCTGAGTAAGCATTGGTGTGCAAACCCACCAAAGAACCAAGTGTGCAAAGTTTACACAATGTGCGGTCCTTGGTGCTCTCTGAGCTGGGTTGCTTTTGGCAGATGTTTCATGACTAGGTAACATCATCAATGCTAGAAGAGAGGGAGGTTTGCTGAGAAGAGGAGGAGGAGGAGAACTACAGAGTCCTTGGTGCTCTCTGAGCTGGGCTGCTTCCTGGCAGATGTTTCATGACCCAACTAGGGAATATATCATCAATGCTAGCAGAAGACAGCCAAGCTCAAAGACTTAATACTGATGATGTTCCCTAGTTGGGTCATGAAACGTCTGTAAGAAAACAACCCAGCTCAGAGAGCACCAAGGAGCCCATAATTCTCCTCCTCCTCCTCCTCCTCCTCCTCCTCCTCCTCCTCCTCCTCCTTCTCCTTTACACAAACCCCATTTGCTTCTAGCACTGATGATGTAACCTAGTTGGGTCATGAAACGCCTGTAAGAAAACAACCCAGCTCAGAGAGCACCAAGGACCCAACAGTTTAAACCTGAGCTACAAATATTCTCTTCTCCTGGTTTACACAATGTGTCCAGCACCCACATGCACAAAACTGCATGCACACAGAGACGCAAGGCCCACCCAAGATTAACACTGCCAAGCTTCAAGGACAGAGGGGACATTTAACCAACTCACTTAGAAGCGTGGCACCAAGAGAAGCTGCCCTCTTTGTCTCTCAGTCACACCTGGTCAGGAGTGGCTTCAGCCTTATTCCGTGGGCAAGCCACAATTGAATCCATGGGCTGCTGGTGACGTGGACCAAATGTGATGTTTGTCTGCCATGGCAGCAGCTTGGAGAGGGGAAAGGGCCCTCTCTCCATCTCACTCAGCATAAGATCCCCTCTCCTCAACTGCTGGAGGAGCTCCTGGGCCCTTCACGTTCTTGGCAGGAGGTGGCAAGAATCCTACTGCCCCCTTGGAACCTCCCTTCTTCAAGGCAGCCCCAAAGCCCTCTGACCTCGGATGGACCTAACACTTTGCCTGGAAGGCCAGAACGCCTCCAAAACCAGAGGGGGCCTTCAAGAGCCCTCCCCACCCTCTCTACGCCCAGGTGCTACAGCAGCAACAAGACCATCACAGGGCAGAAGGTATCTAAGGGTACCTGCTGAGGTTGTCCACCTTAGAGATGTGACTATGGTGTCTGCATCTCCCATTGTGGCACCAGGTTGGCAGCAACGGGCAGTAGAGCCCACTCTCTGGAGAGGATAGATGTCCATCTGGGACCACAGCAGTAGCATCTTTGCCAAAGATTTGCATTCATCCAGGTGCATCTTCACCTCTCTGCCATTTCTAGAGTTTTTGCATGACGGTATTGTTGTTGCTGAAGGACCAAACAGGAGAGAGCTTGCTGTCCATGCTAAAGGCTTCTGTTACTTGGTCTTCAAAAGGAGGCGGGAGGACACCGTTGGCCAGGTTCTCTTCAAGAGCTGAGTTCTGGGCTTCCAGAACAACAGACTAGTTCCTTCTGGGAGCTGGCATTATTCTTGGCCAAATGATGGAGTCAAAAGAGGCTCAGAACAGTGGAGGAGAGTGGCATGTTCATCAAACACCCTCAAATAGATGAGCCAAAACCAAGTGGCTGAATCTGCACATCATCGGTTAAATTTCTCCTGGGTTTGGTGTATTGTGCCTTGCTGACCCTTGTAGATGAACCCTCTGGATCTCCTGTCATGGACCTATTTTTTTTCTCTAGGTTCTGCGTTCTGCACATGTCCTTCAGGTCAACCTGTAGGGATTGTAGGAGTTGAAGGCCAACACAACTGAATCTTCAAAAGCCATCAGCAGGGGAAAGAACAGGACCTGTTGAGGTTCTCCAAGAGCTTCCTTTCCATTTCGAGGTTCAGAGTTGGGAAAGCAGCTTTCATGTATCTGGAAAGTTTGGACATTTTAAAAGAGGGATGGTGCAGTTTTATGGATACAAGTTTGGGGGATGCAGCACTTACGGTGGACACTCAGTGCGCCATTGTGCTCATGGAATCTGGTTTCCCTCCTGAAATCCAGCAAAGGTTTCAGCTCCAGGCCCCCATAAACCAGCCATTTCCAGAAGAAGCTCCCCACCTCCCTGGTCCTGCTTCCCTGCTTCATCTTCATAACTGTCCTGAAGGCAGGATTTGGGGGGTGGGTGATACCCCAAGGCCCCACTCTGAAGCAAAGCAGCCCAGCTGGATTACCACACTGTGGTCATTCCCAGTCCAATCTGTGAACGGGGCAGAAATCCATTCATATTGAGGAAGAAAATGATCCAACAAGACCTCTGTGCAGATAGCAAGACCCCCCCCCAAAATAGCAAGACCCCATTCAGATCTCAATCATGTTTGCATTATGGATTGCCAACCTCAAGAAGAACTTCTTCCTTCTCTTATGGCAAGATTCAGGATGACGATGATGATGATGATGATGATGATGATGATGATGATGATGATGATATCCATTCAGTCATTTCCAACTCTTGGTGATTCCATGAACCGATCCTGGACAACTTCTTTGAGTTGTTCTGTGCTCTGGCTGGTGCCCACTTTGATGGCGGTGAGGTCCTGAAGATGGATCAACCCCAAGTCAAAGGGAGTAGCAAGAAGGAATGACCTGTTGCCCTCACCCAGAGGTCCCTTCTCCTCTTCTCCAAGCAGCTTCAGAGCTCTGTCCCCTCTGACAAGTCATCTTCTCCACCGAGAAAAAAATAGCCAGGTTCTATCCAGGAAGCCCTTGCTTCAAGAAGAAAGTGGACAGCCATTTGTCTGGCATACGGTAGGGTCTCCTGCTCAGGCAGGAGGTTGGACTAGAAGACCTCCAAGGTCCCTTCCAACTCTGGCATTCTGGGTTCTGTTCTGTACCACCACCCAGCTCTTTGGAAGTTTCTGAACTGGGCATGGCGAGACCAGGAAGGGGGTGGGAATATAAAGAAAGGACAATAGCAGCTTTGCCTCGCGCCCTTTCCCTATCTCTTTTGGAGATTCAAGATGGGGAAACAGGACCTTCACCCCATGGCTAGAAAGAATCCCAGAGTCCGTAGGGAGGAAAAGAAGGAGGGGTGATGTGAGGGGGGGGAAGGAGGCACAGTCTTCCCTCCTTCTTGGGGGAGGTGTGGAGCCTCTACTTGCAGAGCTGAGTTCATCCACTCACAATCTCCTGAAACCCACAGGAAGGCTGTGGGAATTCAGCAGTTGTCTCTTGTCACCTGACCACCCTCAAAGTTCTTATCCCACCAGCTGTCAGTCTACCAGAAGACCTCCCTGTCAGGTTTTGTGAAGTGCATGGGTGCCACCAAGCTCAGCAGATTCTCCTTCTTGGCCGACGTTGCTGACTCCAACCCAGCTGTAGATAGACAGGCACTTCAACCAAGCTGATGTGCTGGACTTCACCTTCTCTCATCCACAGCCTCATGAATGTTCAGGCAGGAGATGAGAGGAGGTGTAGTCCAGCCAATGTGGTGGGCCCCGGGTTATTCTTCCTCATGCACCAATGGAAACATCTTGAGCAGCTTCGTGGAGCAACGGAGAAGCTCAGCTGGTCCACCAACTCCTAAGTTGACTTTCATGAAGAAGATGCACATTGAACCCCTGGACCTCCTTCTTGGAGACTGGGTGGTCCATTCTTGGTTCCACCCCCAGGGCAGGAGATGACAAGAAAACAGGTCTCAACAAAAACGTTGTGTGTGCTGGTCATCATTGTCCAGGACTGTTTGAAGCCATTTCAGAGCTGGCTTGGCCAGGATGTCCAGAGATGCTGCTGCTCTTGAAGTTCAAGCGGAGATTCCCGAGTTGACTCTGCAGCCTTGGGGGCAAGCAGGGCAGGACCTCCGGCAGTGATGGGAGGGAGGGGACTGTTGTGGGTCAGCAGCATGTGGTTGTGCTTCTGTTAGAAGAGGTTGGCCTTGAGGGGAGTTGGCTTCCTGTGGAAGGAGGACAGCACGCCGGAGAAAGGTCCTGGCATGGCGGCTTCCGAGGGCTGCCAGGCCTTCAGCAGCTCAGCCGTGTTGGTGCCTCCGTTGCTGGTGCTCACACCCGCCCACAGGGGAGACTTGAGGGTGGGGGTGACGTGCCCAGTGCCCAGGCCTGGCTGCCCCGTGCCAGGGCTGGGGCTCAGGCTGTCGGCAGGACTGTTCAGGCCCCCGGCGGTGGGCAGGGAGGCCGTGCTGTCTGGTGTTGGGCTGCAGTTGGACTCCTTGGACTCGTCATCTTCGGAGGAGGATCGGGGGTCCGGCTTCTTGCCTGCCGCCGAGCTGCTGCCGTTGTTGTTGCCACCGTTCTGCCCTTTGGCGTTGGAGGCCCGTTCTTGCTTCCGAAACTTGGCCCGGCGGTTCTGGAACCAGACCTAAACCGGGAGAGGACAGATTTACTCCCCCAGATACAACCAGGGTGTGGGGTCCTTGGTGCTCTCTGAGCTTGGACCTTCCCTTTCATGACCCAACTAAGTAACATCATCAGTGCTAGAAGATTGTGAGATTTGCCTTCTATTTATACATGTGGTTATCCTGCCAGTGTTGTTTTCTTCCTGGTGGTTCCCGATTGTTTTCTGCTTTGTTGTTTGTCTGGTATTAAGCCCTGCTTATCTGGGTGTTGGATGCTGGAGAGGAAGAGTTCTGGACCAAATGCCAAGAAGAAGACCACATTCCCACCTACACTGTCTAGGCAAGCTACTGGATATAAATGGAGAACAACCGCACTCTCTTTTAGCACTGAGGATGTTACCTAGTTGGGTCATGAAATGTATGCAACAACCCAGCTCATAGAGCACCAAGAACCCCAGAGTTGTTCTCACTCTCTTCCTCCTCCTCCTCCTCCCCCTCTCCCTAAACCCCACTCCCTTCTAGCACTGAAGACTTAGTTGGGTCATGAAATATCCAAGCAACCAAGCAAAGAGAATACCAAGGACCCCCCCCCAAGTCCTCCTCCTCCTCCTCCTCTCCACAAACCTCCCTCCCTTCACAGCACAAATCAAGGTTCCTAATTGGGTCACAACAGGGCTGCAAGAAATCCCCCAGGCTCAAAGAGCATCCAAGGACCCCCCCCACTTTCAACCCTGAGTGACCAACCTTCTCTTCTACCACAGAACCAGGATGGCTGCAGCCCTGAAAGGAGCCCCCTCATCCCCCCTTCCCCCTTAACTGCCGGACCCAGCAGTGGTCTTCCTTCTCTGCTTCCCCCCCCCCCCCACTTTCAAAAGGCAGCGAGTGTGTATTTGCAACACAAACGGCAATATTTGAAATGTAAATGGACCCCTACAAATGCCATGTATTTTTAAAATACTGTCCTTCATTTATATATGCTAAAATGATATATAAAATGGCATCGTCATATAAAAATAAAAATCCTGCAAAAGAAGAGTCTGAATTTCTGGAGAATTTTCCATTTTCTTTAGGTGGGCTTTTAAAGTGTCTTTTATTTCTGCAGAGTTTCTTTTATTGGGAGAGAGGGTTCTATCTTTCTATCTCTGGTTTTTCCCTGATTAGATGACATGTCATGAAGTTTTCCTTTTAGCTATAAAGAAAGCCAAGCGGCTTGAAGAGACTGGACTCACGCGGAAGACAAAATCCACAAGCAATTTCACACCCTGCCCCATCTTTCCAGAGAATATCAGCAAAATCCGTTGCTTTTCTGAGTGGGGGAATAGAAAGCCTTTTTCTCCGCAATTAAGCAATGTAAGTAGGTTAAGAAATTCTTCTTATTTTTATTATTATTTGGCCCAGTTACAGCATTTTGATTTTTATATATTTTTACTTAAATGCCACACAATTAGTTTGAAATTGGCAACCATTCAAAATTTGGGAAGGGAGAATTCATATCACCCTAAATCGTTCGATTCCCTGCTTTAAAAATTGTTTTTTTTTTATCCAAAACTTAGTAATCAGTCTTACTTAAACCATTTTTATCCCAAGGAACTTCTTTCTATCTGACAAATAAAATGCCCTAATTATTCCCTTCAGCAAATTTGCTAATTTATCCCATTTACGTGCCCCGCCCATCTTAAGTACAGGATGCTGGGCAGTGAATGATTAAAAACAGAATTAAAAACAGCGCCCAAAATTGTTATTTGCAATTTCTTGGTACGGCAGAGGAGGAGGGTGGGCTGCGTGTGAGAGAGGGGAGAAAATCGCATTTGGAGATCAATCCTTTAACAGTCAACCTTAAGAATTCCTGTTACAACAGAAACGGATCTGGGGGAGGGGGACCCAAACGGGAAGACCCCACAAATGGCTATTCCCCCGCATCTCCGTCTCTCCCCCCAAAAAGGTAATTTAATTAGTTATTTTTATTTATGTGCTGTTTGCTTATATATTCCGCCTTCATTGTTTTTAGAAATAGCTACGTGGAATGATAAATAAATAATATTTTTTACAAAAATATTTTTTTACAAATAACAATTGACAAATAATGTTTTGCAGTCTATAAAATTGCAAGCATATGAAATGAAAAACCGTCTCTGGGTGATCCTGGAATCCAGAAGGAAAACTGTTCAAAGCCCCTTAGTGCCCCTTCCTCACTTTGCGGCTGCTTGTCCCCCAGGTCTGTAAAGCTTCCTCCCTCCCGTTTTTTTAGGAGCTTTATGGACACCGGCCTTTCGCCTGGAGCTAAGCTTTACTGACCTCTCTGTTTTATCTATCATGGCTGATTTATTGTTGCTGTTATTTTATTTATTTTATTGGTGGGTCTAGCGTTTTACTCTGTTGCGATCCTCCAAGGCTTATGAATTGTTTTTTTTTTAAGTAATTGGTCTTTTTTTTAAAAAAAAGAAAGAAAGAATATAAGTGAGGAAAGTAACACGCCTTTCAAAAGAGTAAATTAGTAAAATGCAATTAGTGAAATGCAAATTAACGAAATGCAATTAGTAAATTATGTAAGTAAACACAGGATTTCAAATTACTTGCAGAGTGATTCATAAAGGAAAAATCGAATTGCTATTAAGCTAAGGATAACTGTTTAACACAGTATAAATCATTAACTAGAATTATAGGATTAAATCGGCACTAGAAACCCAATTGAAATAAAGGAATTAAGCATTTAAAAAAGCCAGATTTCAACTGAATGGACTCTAAAAAAAATGGAATGGAATGGAATGATGAGGCTCCCTAGTTGGGTAATGAAACTTCTACAAGAAAACTCAAAAGTGCTTTTTGAAAAGGCAACTGGACTCTTCTTGTTTTTCGCTGAGGAAGAAGAAGAACAAAACGTTTCGTTTCTCATCCAAGAAACTGCATCGTTCCTACGACCTGGATGACTTAGAATCTCCGCGGACTTTTCTACAAGGAAACCGAGCTCAGGCAGCACCAAGGATCCCTCGGAAATTAAATACGTGCCAGGATTTGGGGGGGATCCTGTTAAAGAGTCTGAAATCCGGTTTTTTCCCCCGTTTTCCATTTGTGGGTACCGGGGAGACATTCCTGCCACGGAAGGCCACCCCAAGAATTCAGGCCGGAGAATCAGCTGCGGGGGGAATCGCCTTCTTCCCTCCCGGGCTCGGGGGGTTCAGGGCAGCGCCCGGATGAGGGGAAGATGAGTCCCAGCCCACCCTAGTCGGCCCCTGGCGCTGGCTGTGGCCGAAGGAGCGGGCGGGCGGGCGAGGGTCCCGCAGGCGTTTCAAGGCGTCGGGCTGCCGCCGTCCCTCCCCAGCGACTCACCTGCACTCGGGCCTCGGTGAGGTCGATCTTGAGAGCCAGCTCTTCCCGGGTGTAGATGTCCGGGTAATGAGTCTCGGCAAAGACCCTCTCCAACTCCTTGAGTTGCGAGCTGGTGAAAGTGGTCCGGATCCTTCGCTGCTTCCTCTTCTCGTTGATGGTGGAAGGGTCGGAGAAGAACTTGTACGGGACTGGAAGGAGGGGGGACGGGGAGAGGAGGAAAAGAGGGTGTGGGTTAGGACCCCCAGGAGGGGAGGCTGCGCAGGTGGAGGGCTGGTTTGGGGATCCTGGATCCGCGCAGTGACCCATCCCAGCTCTCTTCAGTCGTGCTGGGTTATAAGCGTTGGGTAGGAATCGTGGACTCCTTGGGGCTCTCTCAGCTAGCACTGATCATGTTACCTAGTTGGGTCATGAAACGTCTCAAGAAAAACAACCAAGCTCAGAGAGCACCAAAGACCCCATCCTCCTCCTCCTCCCCCCCCTCTTCCTCCACACACCCCACTCCCTTCTAGCCCTGATGAGGTTCCCTAGTTGGGTCATGAAACATCTGCAAGAAAACCGCCAAGCTCAGAGAGCACCATGGACTTCACAGTCCAACGATGAGCTACAAATATTCTCCCTTATTGGTACGAATTGTAGCCCAGCACGCTCGTCTGCTGCCAACAGGTTGGCATCAGTGAAGGAAATGGATGCCAGGGCCATCTGCGAGGCTCACCCCCCATCCCTGAAGATGCCCAGCAGAAAACGTGGAGGTTTGTGGGGTCCTTGGTGCTCTCTGAGATTGCTGGTTTTCTTGCAGACGTTTCATGAACCAACTAGGTAACAGCATCAGTGTTCCGTGATGAAACATCTGCAAGAAAACCACCAAGCTCAGAGAGCACCAAGGACCCCCCCAGTTCAACCCTGAGCTACAAATACTCTCCTCCGTCGGTACTTAAGAGGTTGCTCCCCAGAAACAAAACATTAGGAAAGCCGTTTGCTGGGGACATAGAGCCTCCACGACCACCAAGGAATTGGGTTTCTTAGCCCCCCTTGTTCATCCACGGAATAAAGAAACAACTGCCGACGGCCAGGAATTTTGCGTCTTTCTGTCCGGAAACCTTGCCCGACTCTTCTCCGCAAAACGAAGCGGGGCGCGCGGGAAGACCCGGATTTAAAGACCCTTCAGCTGGAATGGATGAGGGATTTTTGCCCCCTCCCCCCCTTTTCACGTTCCAGATGCGGTTTTAGTTTAATTAACCGTTTGGAATCGGTTATTTAAGAGACGGAAAGGAAGCAGGCAGGCTGTCTCGTGTGAACGGCTCAGCGCGGACTCTGGGTAGCTCAGTTTAGGGAAAAGGTCTCATTCACACAACGGTTAGATTGGGAGGTGGTCTTGTGTGCATTAGTGGGTTGCGAGAACTCATTTCGCGGACGTCTTTCTCTCTCCCAGTTTAGAATAAGAGACATAAAACGGGGCCAGAGGGCGGGTCAGCGCCCTGCACCAGCTCCGTGTTTCCGTTTGTCGGGAAATTAAGGGGAATCTGTCGGTTCTGCGGCGCCCCGATTCTCGGGGTTCCTGGGCCTCGCCCGGGCTCTGCGGGGCCCGGAGTGGCGGCGCCTCCGCCGGGAAAACAACGAGCAATGAGGCTTCCCCGTCAATCCGAGGACGCCCCGTTCCCACGCGCTGCTTCTGCCTTCATTCCTCCGACGTGGCCCATTTGAATAAATCCTGGAGCCGAAGAGAAGGAAGCCGCGCGTGTTCGCTCCCGGCCGGAGGCCGGAGAGCGAGCGTCCCCGCATCCCCTCTTGCCACTTTCTCCTTCCGAATTAGGCGATTCCCCGTTTCCTTTCTGCGCGACCAAATTGCTTTGGATCCACGCGTGACCGCGAAGCTGCGAGGTGGGCGCCGGGCGAGCAAGTCTGTTTTTCCCCGCGTGGCTTTGGCCGTTTCAGTGGCTGACCCGGAGGGAAAGGGCGAGGAGGGGGCTTCTAACGGAATAACCAGAAATAAATGTGAACAAATCACTTTTATGGATAAATTCCGTGTTCATACTCGAAGGAGATTTTTCTCCTCCCACCTGTCCGGATAAACTAGTTACCCGCAATCCACTGTGGCGCTCAACCAACTTGGGACCCTTCTGGCCCTCTCCGCGCCCGGCTGCCGTCGCGCAAGGTGCGGATCCTTCCTGCTCAGCTGCGCTTCTCCGGGCTGGAGGCGAAGGGGCGGCGGTCTCTGCGCTCCTGTTTGGACTTTGACTCGGCCCAAGCGCGGCTTCGAAGGACTCTCGAAACCCCGAGCGACTTCGCCGGTCAGCCGTGGGTTCCCGAGGTCGGAGCCGCCACCCATATCGGAGTCCTGCGCCCCAGTCCCCGAGGAGGGGGCCAGGCTCAGAGTCGGCGGGCCGGGAGGGCGGCACCGATCCGCCCGAAGGGACGCCATCCATTTGGGCCGCGCGGCGCCGGGCTTCCCATGGCTGGACCCGAAGGGCGGGTGGCCGTGACTTGGTTTCTGGGCGCCTCATTTCCAGACCACCGGTGTACTACAACTCCCATCGTTCCCCTCCTGAGCGGGGAGGGCATTCCTGGGTGAGGAAAACGCTGGAGGTCTCCTTGCGGGAAGGGGAGAGAGGGGAGCCCTTCCCTGAGCCGCGCCCGGTATCCAAGACCCTCCGCTGGATCTGGACTACCGAGGCAAGGCCAGGGCTCTTCCCCGGATGCGGGGGCTGGTCGGGGGCGGAGAAGGCGCCCTTCCGACGGGGTGTCGAACTGCTGAGAACAGCCCACCAAGTCCCAAGTCCCGCGAAAGTGGTGGCTGCGCTTTTGCACATTGCGATGGTGACTCTTACTATTCCCGACCGTCGGAATTAATTCCCTCCGTGGAGGAAAAACCGTTTTCTGGCTGGAAGGAGGGAGAAAAGACCGACCGAAAGCGCGGCTCAGCACCGACGGCTGGGTTCTGGGGCTGCCCAGCTGCGCCCCCCCACCACCACCCGAAGCCAACTCTGGACGGGCGGGAGCGTCCGTTATACGAGCTCTTGGGGGGGGGGGGCTTTCCTTCCCCTCGGATTGCCGGAGTGCACCCCTCCAGAAGAGCCACCATGCCAGGAAAGCTCCTCTGGGGGAGAGCCCATCCTCTCTACATTCCTCCGGTGAGCCGGGCGGTTCGTGGGTGAGCCGGTCCGGGGTCGTCCGTTCCCCCCCTCCACACTTTCGGTCCCCGGACTGGACCCGTTTGGAAAGCAGCAAAGTCTCCCCAAAGACGGAGGGAGCCCCTTTGCCAAATCAGATCCTTCCCTTCCATCACCCGGGACCCTTCCCGCCACCCCTGCGACCCTCCATACGGCAGCGCAGCGGGCAGAAACTACACGGAGTGCCCGAGGGGGAACTCCGGCCAGCTGGGGCGGCCCATCATCCCCTCCCTTCCCCGGGAATCCCGGCGGCGGCGGCGCCTACCTGCGGCGTAGGGCGAGGGCTGGTGGTCGCGCAGGGCGCCCAGGGCGCAGCTGGCGGAGGCGAGCGGCGGGCATGCCGGGCTGGCGGCGAAGGAGCTGCGGATGGGGTTGTATTGGAAGGAGCCGGCCTGGCTGCAGGAGCTGAAGTCCGCGTACGCCGACGCCTCCATGGCCGCCATGCACGAGTCGTACGAGTTCAGGTAGGAGTAATCCATGGCGCCCAGACCCCCGCTCCGGCTCTGCGCCCGCCCGCCCGCCAAGTGGCGGCGCAGCGACGGGGCGGGCGAGATATACTTGGCCGGCTGGGACCGGCGGCGGCAGGAGGCTCGGCGGCCAAGCCCCCCTCCGCCCCGCCCCGCCCCCTCCCTTAACCCTTTCGGGGGTCCCGCGCGCGCTCTTGCCCCGACGGGTTGCCCCTCAGCCTGACCCTCTTGGCTTTGGAAGGGGGTCGCCGGGAAAAGGGACTCAAAGAAGATCAGCGGCCCTCCTCTCCGCGAGGGTCTCTTTTCGGGTCTCCCCAAGAAAAGCTGCCTCTTCTCCAAGTTGCAGAAGAGGGCCTACCTGGTCTGGCTGGTGTGTGGCAGCATCAGAGCCCAGCCCAGGGGTTCCCAGCCTTGGCCACTTGAAGACTTGTGGGCTCTAACTCCCAGGATTCCCCAGCCAGCCACGCCTTAAACAGACTTGCAAAGATCGGCCTGCCTGGCTAGGATTTGGCCTCAAGAGTCAAATGGGAGTGGGCGTGGGACAGCCTCCCCCATCCAGCTAAGAAACAGTGGGGGGGGGGAATATTAGGAGGAAGAGTATGAATTTTCTCACCTTCTCAGGTATTGCTGTTGGGTTGGACCTCCCAGTGTGCCCAAGGGAGGGTCTTTGGCGGGACCCCCATTACAGGGCATTTTCTCAGGATGGCTCCATTGTGCCCCCTCTCCCGTAATTCATAAGGGTCTCTGCAGCCTCATTCTGCCTTACAGCCCTGCCCAATGACCCCAAAATACCTGTTAGGGACAATAAATCAACTTTCAGGACGCAAATTCAAGATATCCCCTCCCCCCTCTCGTCTTTTCTGTTCACCAAGGAGGGTAGCAGTTAAGCCAACAGGATGGGTTGATGCCACACGTCAGGACTGCCCCCACCCCAATCCAGGTTAACCTTAATCCTTGCTTGCAGGAAGTCGCTTGGTCTTTCACAGGCCTGGTTAAGCGTCTTGTGTGAATGTTGTGGTACTTGTGGCTGGCCAGGTGTTGGGAGGAGTGCATCTCTGGGTCTGTTGGGCTGGCACTGCCCGGCCTGGCTCCCCTCCCCTGAAGATGGGGCAGATATTCCTCCCCAATCCCACTGCCTCTCCCTCCCCACAGCCGGACTGAACCCCGGGATCCTCTTGGGGGAAAGGTTATTCAATTTGAGGTGAAACCATAGGCATTTCCTGTTGTTCATCCTGCGCAAGACTGTCCCTGGGCTGAAAGGGTTAAAATGGGGGGGAGGCTTAACGAAAGCAGGGGAGGTGTCATTGGCCGCCCTGTTTCTTTTTTCTTTTCTTTTTTAACGGAGTTTGGAATTGCAAGGAAAGGAGAGAATAAAATAGATACCCTTTCAAAATAAAACAAATGGAAGGAAATAATATCGGAGGAAAAGAAAAGAACTGCTGTATTTCCCTGTCTTGTTCTTATAGACAGACGGACGGAGGATGTGCTCTCTCTCTCTCTCTCTCTCTCACACACACACACACACACATACACACACACACACACTCGTGCGCCTTTGGTTCTGTTTAACTAGGACATCTCCAAACAGATCCTCCCTATTAATTCACGGAAGGAAACCTAAGTGAAAAGTGAAAATTGAAAAAAAAAAAAGACTTATTTATTTTAACTAGGATTGGGTGCAGGATGTAATGTGCAAACCAAGCCGGCCCCGGAGTTGTAGTAGAAGGCTGGAGTCCCCGAGAACCAACTGAAAACACGTTTATTAACATATGGCCACAAGGATGGGAGTTCAGGGAGCCAGAGAAGATTCTTGGGGGCCCCTAGACTCCTAACCTCTTCCCCCTCCGGTTCGAGTGAAATCCGCCCATAAATTAGAATCCCGATTCTCAACCTCAGCAATGTGAACTCCCAGACCCCCCACCCCAGCATGCTTTATGGTTTGTGGACTTCCAGAATTCCCCCAGCTGCATCCTTTAATCTGATGGACTTCCACTCCCAGAATCCCCCAGCTTCCAGAAGTCTGGGAGTTGAAGTCCACTCACCTTAAACCTGCTGAAGCTGAGCCACCCTCCTACGGACAAACCTGGCTCTTCTCCTACAATGTAGAAATCACCAAGGAAAGCAAACCTCCGCCAGCTGCCTGTTAAGCCCCCCCACCCCCCAAGTAGCCAACATCCATCTTAGTTTCTGCCAAAGAGACATCTGCATTTCAGGCATCCTGCTTTTAAGCACCTCTTCCCACCAGACTTTTCTCCTTTGACCTCCATTTCTCGGACATTCCTGGAGGCTCCTTCGGACTCAGCAGCCTGCCTGGCCTGGCTGTGGTTGCAGAGCGGGGGTGGGGGGAGTCTAGGTGGGACTTTCTGCCCCTTCCAGATTTCCTGGCAATGTTGGGACTGAGCTCCAGAAAGTATATCAAAAAGATGTTGAGAGGATCCCATCTGGGTTGGCTTTATCTGCCGAGTATTGAACTCTGGCTGGAGCCCATCCTCCCTCGGGGACTTCTCTCTCTGCTTTGGGCTGTTCTGGCTGTAGTACTTAAAACCGCTAGAATCTACGGCGACCGTAGATTCGCCTTCATTTGTAAGCTGTGGAGACTCTCAGAGTGCAGAGAAGAGCAACCAAGAGGATTAGGGGACTGGAGGCTCAAACATGCGAAGAAGGTTGCTGGAATTGGGGAAGTCTAGACTAGCGAAAAGACGGACTAGCATAATGGCACCGTTTCAGTATCTTAGGGGCTGCCCCAAAGAGGAGGGGGGGTCCACTTCATCTCCAAATGAAGGCGGGACAAGAAGCAACGGATGGAAGCTTATCAAGGAGAGAAGCAACCTGGAGAAACTTCCCAACAGTGAGAACAATTAACATCGGAACGACTTGCCTCCAGAAGTTGTGGGTGCGCCCGTCCCTGGAGGTTTCTAAAAAAGAGACTGGACAGACTCTTGTCTGGAATAGTAGAGGATTTCCTGCCTTGAGCAGAGGGTTGGACTAGAAGACCTCCAAGGTCCCCTCCAACTCTGGTATTCTGTTATCCCGTAAACGACAGAAAAGGCAGCAGTCGTCTCTCTTGCACACCAGTGCCGTTGCCCGGTGTACCCCTTGCACAATAAATCACTGATGCACCCCCAGCCCCCAACCCCGCCCTGCCAATGGATTCCAGGAGAGAAGTTGGCGATTGGAGTGCTGTCATTCCATCTCTTCCCTTTGATCATTCCGAGAAACGGGGAGTTTTCAGTTGGTGGATTCGATGAGGAGACAACCTGGTCGCCAATTCCCCTCCCGTGGAGCCTGCCTTCCTAACAACTGCTGGGGATGATGGGTGTGGTGGTCCATCCTTCTGAAGACTCACTCCTTCGGGGAAGACTCTTCCAGGTTTTTCCGTTTTGAAAATAATAATAAAAAACGTTTAACAATCCAGCTGCCCCTCCCCATCGTTTTCAGTTGGGCTCTGTTGCCTTTGTTTATGCAGCCCACCCACCCCCGTTAGGGTAAAAGCCCCCCTGGATACCAATGCATTTGAAAGCCCGGGCCCTTTCCCCCGCTCCCACCCCAGGGGCGCAAAGCAGAAGGATTAAGGGCATTTTCAAGACAAACACTTTCGCTAAGGGAGATTTCAAAGTCTAAATCAGCATCCAAGCCTTTGTCCGCCCTTTCGAGGGGGGCGACTTTTCCGCAGGAGCCTCTCGAAGAATTTGGGGGGGGGGGGAGAACGGAGGAGGGGAGGTTGGCGACTGGGAGGGCAAAGCGCTGGCATCCTCCGCGATTTTCCAAACGGGCCAGGAAATCAGAGACCCGAAGCGGGAGCAGCGCGGCAAAAAATCCGTTGGAGACGCCAAAACCTTGCTGGAAAACCGGCGAGCAACTGTTGCACAGGGGAGGCCGGTGGGCAGGCGCGTGGGGCCAATTTCCTGCCACCCTCATGAGACCAGCTGGGTGAAGTTCCCTGCACAGAAGAGCCTCGCACAAGCCTGACTCGTGGTCGTGAGAAATTGGCCCCAGCCTGCCCACGAGCGCGTGCACACCGGCCTTCCCCGTGCAACCCTTCCATGCAAGGCTTTGTGTCCCTGGACAGGTGGAGGGGTTGGCACCAGGTCATTTTTTGCTTTATTCTTTATTTATTACATTTCTGCGCCGCCCATCTCGCTCTCAAGCCACTTCGAGCGGCTGACACGGTGATTTTCAGCAGCCAACGTAGCCCCCCCTCCTCCTCCCCGAGTCTTTTCCTGACCTCGAATCGGGCCGCGTTTCATCCCGCGGTTTGCTTGAAATCAAGTTTGGGGCGAGAAGGCTGCAGTTTCTCCATTGTGTGTATGTAAAGGGGGGGGGCGGGGAAGGGAAGGGGCCACGCGGAGAAATTTGCAAGCCCGCCTCCGAGTCCCCACATTGTTAATCAAAGGACCCGCCAGATTCGTGAATGGATGCTCATTCAAAAAAATGTTTCCCGGCCTTAAAATGATGTTGGGATTGTATCCGGAGAACGCTTAGTGAGTGGAGGGGTTTCTTGCTTTAGTTTAAAGGAAGAATGTAGAGCCTTTTTAAAATTTGAGGGTCTCTAGTTTCTACAGCTTTGTCTAACGCTGAATCAATCCTTCCTCCCTCCCTTCCTCCCTCCCTCCCTCCTTCTTCCTTCCCTTTCCTTCTCTTCATTCACATTGTTTTCCTTTCCTTTCCTTTCCTTTCCTTTCCTTTCCTTTCCTTTCCTTTCCTTTCCTTTCCTTTCCTTTCCTTTCCTTTCCTTTTCCTTCCCCTTCCCTCCTCCCTTCCTCTTTCTCTCTTTCTCTCCCTCCCTCCTCTCCTTCCTATCTACCTATCATCCAGACTGGGGGGATTCTGGGAGTTGAAGTCCACAAGTCTTAAAGTTGCCAAGGTTGGACACTCTTGCTTTAGACTTTGGCTTATATTTAAAGGGCAGGATTGGATTTGATGTGCTCTGCCCAGCACCCCCAAATGTCAGTTTATTACCTCCCCCCCCCTATGAAATTTTGCAGATCAGGTTTTGGGTGGCTGCGAAACAGAAT